CACCACGGCTGTAGTGAGACTAGCTTCGACTATCCCCCATTTCTTTCCATATTCATCTACGTCAAAGCCGTAGGCTTCCGCAATAAGCCAGAATAGGCATTTCTGAGGAAATGCTGGAGGTAATCCTGTCAGTCTGAAGTATTGGGCAGATGCCCCCACTATGTCTACTACAAGATCTTGAATGTGGTAATCTCCTAGATGGAGATCTGCTAGATTGATTCGTCCGCAATGGTCCGCTAAGTTTTTTACGGGCGTAATCCACTCCTCCGGTACGTAGACGTTGATCTGTCCAACGACTCCTTCGTCGTTGCGAGCTTCCCAAGCGACCGGTTCTCCGACGAAAACATAAGGAGCTTTTAGCTCCTGTTGTACTGTCTGCACTATTCGGTGTCCAATCGGTCCTGCCATAATGTCTATTACCTGCTTTCTGTTCTCTAGGTAGTTTCCTTGAAAGATTGCTCTCATTGCCAGCGATCGAAGTTTGCCAAAAGGTTGCTCCATCTTCGTAATTTCCCTAAGAAGGGAAATTGATATGGTTGCTTCAGATCGTTCCGCCGTCACACCGGCGGCCTGATCCGTTGAACTGTTGCGAGCCATTTTGATGTCTCTGTTCTCAGAAAAGTTATTGAAGGTAAATAGACCGACCGGGTTAACCCGGTTCGGTCATTGTTATGATGTTGAGTCTGCAAGTTGTGATTGTGGCTATATGGTTGCTATATTGCTATATTGCTATATTGTATTATCCGTGCAAGGAGTTTGATACCAACCGATGTGCAGCACGGGGAAAACGAGTAAAGTGAGCTATTGCGCAGCAAGTAAAGGAAAGTGAGCTATTGCGCAGCAGCTGCTGAAGCGGCGAGGGGCCCGTTGATGCTGGCTGTCATGCTTTTTAAAGTGCTAAGGATAAGCGACGCCTTGCGAAACGGTTATTGCTTTTGAACAGTGCGGCTTTCTTTTACAATACTCTGCGTGACAGTAGGCGCGAAGTGCGCCTGGGGTCCCTTCACAAAGGCCTTAAGCAATTACGACGCGCCAAGCAAACTTACCTCGCGGCGTCGATCTATAACGGCTGGGGTCGCACGGGCAACTGAATTGTTAATAGTAACCGCCAACCAGGTTACTTTTACAACCCAAGGTTTCCGTACGAGCGAAATACTAAGACAGCTAGGAAAGCTGTTTTCTCTTCTGATGGACAGAAACACAATTCTTACGACGAGAAGCTTTATTAACCTGGATTATCTTCTTGGGTTACCGGCGTGGTGTGCTGGTTTGGGTGGTTGTGGGGCGGCAGGGAGCACCTGAGTTGAGGTGTCGTCGCCGCTGGAATGGATGATATGGATCACCCAATCAACAGCTGAGGGAAAGGGACACCAAGATGGTCATTGCGGATCAGTCGCATTTTCCCTTCACCACGCCGACTAAACGTTCCGCGACTGTTCGTCTGCCTGCCGTCTGATCGACCGTCAACTACGACAGAAGCGATTGGGGTGGTGCCTACACGTCTTCTTTTAACTTTTAACCCCAAGCAGATCACAATAATTACCGTTATCAAAATATTGTTTTATAACTTGTTGGGGTGAAGCCGCTGGGAGTCAGTCTTTCATCGCAGTCTGTTGTGGCGCGATGCTGAGCCCAAAGGATAGTGGGGCCGAGATTGGGGAGCCCAACCCCCTGTTTGATAAGGAGCAGCCAGGCAGTGTCAGAGCGGTGATAGGGAATCTTTCCGGTGATGTCGCTGCTGCTCCATCACCCCCTGTCGAGGATCCCAATGCCGGCCAGAAAATGGGTCATTTCAAGTATGGCACATCGTTTTCAGTGCCCAACACCAAAGAAACTGCAAAGGATGAAGGAAACAACTCCAGCACACGCACATCCGGATTCAAGGCTTGGGTAAGATATGCATAACGGTTTTGTTAATTAGTACGAATATAGAATTTTACTTATTGAAACTTTGAACTCCAGCAATTTTGAAAACTTTAGTTTGTGTTCGCCAGCCGATGTTCGCCGTTCCGACTTCGCATCTTCTGCCCAACAGGTTTCCAAACATCCCTTCATGTTCGCTGGTCTGGCGGTTCTTGGTGTTCTCGGATTATTGGCAGTGATTATTGTGCCATCAGTTTGCGGAACTATTGGCTGTAAAATTAAGAAGGACGGCGCCCACGAGGTGCGCTAGCGATCGCAAAACCGGCTTTGTCCGTAGCCTGCAATTGAAGAGAGTTATAACTCCTATACGAAATTGTCTGAAATGCTTTCTTTCGCACATCGCTAACTCATCCTATCTTCAACCATACTGGCCATTTCCTATATATGGCTATATAAGTCCGTGTATGCCCTGCACAAACGTGCGATGGCCATTCTAATTGCAAATTATAAATTCCGCGCACATAGCGGAGGGTGTCCGTAACAGCCGTGGGGGAACCATGGATGGTCGATTGCCATTTCTATTGTGGCGTTGAGTTGAGACGTTGACGTTCTCTCCCGCTCGCCTGGGCTCGGCGCGCCTGAGCGCGATGCGCCTCCTGGTTGGCCCAACTTCCGGGAGATGTGAGCCACAGCCAGATGGGGGCCTTTCGCCATAATAGTACGCTTTTTGCGGCCTCGGAAGCTAATGCCCCCCTAGTATTTAACTCTTGAAGCCCCCCCTTAGGCCGGTGGGCATTCACAAAAGACATGCAACTCGTCCTCGACCACGCCGCAGTCACAAAGCCTGCATGTACGCGCGGCACGCTCGCAGCCAATCAGCCTGTGACTACCCTGCTTCCCGTTACCTGTGCTTTCCGCAATGGGGGAATCGCATGCACGTTGTTCCGACTCAGCTCCTTCTCTCCGTCCCTCCCTCTTCCCTCCCTCCCTCTCTCCTTTTCTCCCCCCCTCCCTCCCACTCTCCTTCTCCCCCTCCCTCCCACTCTCCTTCTCCCCCTCCCTCCCACTCTCCTTCTCCCCCTCCCTCCCACTCTCCTTCTCCCCCTCCCTCCCACTCTCCTTCTCCCCCTCCCTCCCACTCTCCTTCTCCCCCTCCCTCCCACTCTCCTTCTCCCCCTCCCTCCCACTCTCCTTCTCCCCCTCCCTCCCACTCTCCTTCTCCCCCTCCCTCCCACTCTTCTTCTCTCCCTTTCTCTCTCCCTCCTTAGGACCCCCCGGGCTCCCTGCGTGTCATGGTGCGCTTCACCCAAGCTGATGCTACGGTCAAGCAGCTGTTGCCATTGTTGTCCAAATACTTCAACTCCAGCAAATTCAACTCCAGTGGATTGGAGGTGCTCCAGTTCGACTCGCCAGAAATGCTGAAACAAGTCAAGAAGTTGTTACAAGACAGGTACTCAGGTCAGTGTATGCATTGCTCGGTAGCCGCACTCCGTGCACTGCCCTGAACACTGCCTGATAATTGGGATAATTGTCTGGGATAATAATAAATACTGGGGACCGCAACAGGACGGAAGAGAGTTCAAAAGGGAAGGGGATTTTATTGAAGTGAATTAGCAGTGTCGAACCACCGAAAGAGGTTTCAAACGAAAGAGAAACAGCTCATCGTCTCCTCTTGGTGCGCTTCCCCTAAAACTGCCAATTTTATCCACCGCGTGCTGCCCCCTGCCTCAGCAGCTGACCACCCCAATAACCTCCCACACGCTCAAAAGCACTTAGCTGAGTAAAGAGTAATCAATAGTTAATACAAATTTAATACTGATTCAATACTGATCCAATTTTTCCCGTCGTGAGGTCGTGAGGTCGTGAGGTCGTGAGGTCGTGAGGTCGTGAGGTCGTGAGGTCGTGAGGTCGTGAGGTCGTGAGGGGGGGGGGTCCTGCTCCAACAGACAAGCCGCGGCAACACCTCCCACCACCACCTACCCCTGCTCATAATATTGTCCCCCTTCCCGCATTTTGATAAATCCCAGCCCTTTGACATCCCCGCCCGACTCTCTTAGCATTTACCTCACCTCATTCTCCTTGCCGTCCACCCGTGTACCACCCGCAGCAATCCTGGACCTCCTTGTCGATGACTTCGTCATGAGAATCTCACCCACCATAAACGGCGGCACCAGACAAAACTCCACGTCGCCGCCAAGCACCGGCGATCAGTCCTCCGGGACCACCCCAGGCGGCAACTCCACAGGCCGCCGACTGCAGGTCACCGACAAGTATCCGTACGACGACACGGTTTCGGATCCTTTGGAGACACAGATGTGGCATTTGGAGGCAGTCAGTGCGGCACAGGCCTGGGCCGTTACGCGCGGTGCGTAATGCGATTGGACGAGCATAAGTCTGTCGTGTTGTGTCGTACGGTTTTGCGTCGTGTTGAGATGGTATACGGTTGAGCTGGTTGGGGAACCTGAGTTTTGAAGTTATGAGGTTATGAGGCTGTGGTAGTGAAAGGTTTGTGGGGTTGTTGGTGATGAGCGGCCGCGGTGCGTTTTGAGCTGTCCTAGCTTCGGCGACCCCTGGCTACCCCGCCACTCCTGCCCTGCGCCTTAGCTGGGCGGGGCGCCTCTTGTAACGAGGCGACGCAAGGCGGGAATGCACCGCCTGCCTTCACATCGCAAAATACGACACGAGTAGTTTAAAACGCGATGACGCAACGAAGGTACGTGGCTGAAAGCACGCTATAGCCCAGACGAATCTTGTCAATGTTTTTTAAGCTTCTCCACTGAATTTGTTATTGTGCCTTGTCTGATAGCCATGTGGATTCTTCTTCGCTAAGGTAAATTTCTCCCCTAAATCCCCCGGGTGATGATGAATTTCTTTTCGTCTTCACCCCCCAGGTGTGAAGGAGGTCATTGTCGCGGTCATGGACACGGGTATTGACATTGACCACACTGACCTCAACGAGAGCATCTGGCGGAATGTTAAGGAGATCCCCAACAATGGAATCGATGACGATGGCAACGGTACGTTGCCGTACAATGACAGCGTGCCGCCAGGGCACGTTTAGTTTATAGGTGTAGTGAAGCAGTGTACGGCAAGCCTGAAGCGTACAGCAGTGTCGTGTATTGAGTGCAAGGGAGATCAAGTCAGGAAGAAAGGAGGGATTAAGATACGCGCCATAAAGTCGCTGTGGTTTTTCATTCCGCTGATGCGCCTCGGACGAACCCCCATCAGCCGATCAGCCGCAACCGCCACAACCGCCACAACCGCCACAACCGCCACATTCACTTGCAAAACACGCAAGAGTCTCATCCTCTCTGTCCCTATCACACGTGCCACAGCAAACGTAGCCCCACATGTGCTTTTTCCACAAGATGTCCCAAATCACCCCTCGCACCGCCTATCGCGCGTCAGGTTATATCGACGATTACATGGGCTATGACTTCGCCGGCCCCTGCAGCGTCGACTGGCGCTCGAGCATTCCCCCCCCTGCTCCGCCGTTACCATCGCCGCCTCCCGTGCCGCGGCCGCCTAGCCCACGGCCACCGCCACGCCGCCTGCGGTCTCTGTTGCAGAGCCGCTCCCAGCCTCTCCGACCTCCTCCCACGCGGCCGTTGCCCAGCCCTCCCAGCCCGGCGCCGTCACCGCCTGTCCCGGTGGACCGCATCAACCAGCAAGGCCGGTGAGTGTCAACACGTGGTGATAAAACCGGCGGAGTCAGCGGGCCAAAATCATAAAGTGGACTTGGGCCTCAACAGCCTCAATAGCGCGGAAGGGTGTGGCCGGCGGCCTGGAGGTGGAGGGAAAACACGCCAGCATGGTTTTCGTACATGAAAGAGCCGGCGAGCACACAATAGAACCCGCAATAAGTTCCCCCACACTCGACCCAGGATGTGCTAATGTCAACTCACCAGGCCGAACATCCTGGCCGGTTTTCACCGCCCTTCCCCACCCCAGCCCTCCTCGCCTCCCTGTGTGATTCCACTTTGTTAATATTTCTGCAGGTGCGGAGCAGATGCTAACCCGCGCCCTGACGCCAGCGACACGGGACATGGCACCCATGTGGCGGGCCTGGTGGCTGCAGTACGTGGCAACGGCCAGGGCGGTTCGGGCCTGGCGCCTCGCATTAAAGTCATGGCGCTTAAGGTAATTTCACGTTAATATGCAAGGAATAATCCTTTCCTAATGCAAAGGTGACCAAAAGGGGCTTTCTAATTTGTTGTGGGTTTTGTGTGTTTTGAGCTGTCAGGGGTGCTGATAGTTTCCAGGGCCGCTGTGCCCCAGATGCCATATCTACAAAACACAAGGCGTCATGGCAAGGCTTGTGAGTGGCACGAAGCTAACAGGCAAATAATCAGGATCATTGCTTTCGTGTGGGACATACATACATACATACACACATATCTATGTTTCCTATCCAGCGCAACTCCCTTTTGTATTCTTCCTTGTCGTGTGTTTAGCCATGTGCTTTTTGGACCCTGTCGTGATCTTCCTTCCCCGTACTGTTGTCGTACAACTCCTGTCCGTACAGGTGGCGGACCCAACGGGCGCCTTCTACGCCAGCAACGTCATGGCAGCGTACGATTACGCACTCCGCATGGGGGCGCACGTCGTCAGCAACAGCTTTGGGCCATTAAGACCGAATTTCAATCCCAACGATTATGATAAGGCGGATGACGCAAAGAAGTACCGGCTGTACGAGCGTGCCGTACAGCCGCTGGCTCAGAAGGGCGTGCTGCTTGTAGCCGCTGCCGGTGAGTCACGTGTGTATGTATGTATGTAGTTTGGGTAGGGGAAGGTGGATTTCCCCTCCTTCTTTCCCCTCCTTTCCTCTGTTTTCCGCGCACTCATTCCCGCCCTGTCCGGTCCCAGGTAACGAGAACGGCAACCTGGACGATTTACGCAAGGTGAACATGAATTACCTGCCTTGCACTTTAGATCTCCCCAACGTGCTGTGTGTGGCTGCCAGCAGCCCCGACGGCCGCCTCTGGAGTGAAACGCAGTGGAATCAACAAGTGGGAACAAACTATGGCAAGATGTCGGTGGACATCGCGGCGCCGGGCTCGCGCATCCTGAGTACACTTCCCGGTAACCGCTACGATTTGAAGACCGGCAGCTCGATGGTGGGTCCAATCTGGATGGGGACGAAGTCGGGATGGTGCTCCCCGTCATGGATGAATTCAAACGTTGGGGCGCTTTATTCATTTACTCCCCTGCTAAACTGTCGATGGTTGATCTAATGCATGCGGGGAAAAGAGAGGAGGGAGAGGGTGACTCAGGAGGATAGGAGAGTTTGCGAGAGGAAAGGGGATTTGAGTGGACATGGATGGATGTCATGAGCCATAAGAAGAGTACTGTTGTACTGTGATACTTCCTGTGAACTATCGGGTCCATTGTAAAACGCACTATTCAGGCGTCGTCTCGCGGAATGTCCTTGTGGCATTCAGATCTCCTTTTCCAGCGGGGCCCCCCCCCAAAAAACATATTTCCCATTTGGATGGGTGTCGTTTCCTTACCATTCCTGAACAGGCAACCCCGCTGGTCTCAGCCGCAGCCGCGCTGGTGCTGTCCGTGCTTGGCTCCTCTGATGGCAACTACTTTCAGGTAGTCGGTTGAGCTGGTTTCGGGGTAGGCTGGATAGGTACGGCAAGGTCTGCGGGGTACGGAAAACAGTCCATACCCGACCGACGGAGGAGCTGTGCTCCCCTCGCGGCTTCTGTTTCCCCACCTTGATAGGGAATGGATCGAAAAGGGAACGAACGACTCATATGGGGCCTTAGCAGGTTGTTACTTGAAGAAGGACGGAATGGATCCTTTAAATGCATTTGTGTTAGCTTAACGGTTTCGTCTTCTCGGTCCCCTTCTCCGGGGGAGCCCCCCCCCTTGCTGTTCGCAGAGGCCCGGCCCGACCCGGCCGCAGTCCGGGGCTACTCGGACTCCTGGGGATACCATTTGTTCAAATCTCCCCACTTGTGCCTCTGCGCTTATCCACATTCGCAAATACATCCACACTCAGCCGGCCAACCATTCCATCCATTCCATCCATTCAACTCGTGCCTGTTAGCTGGCCGGCTTTGCTATATCGCCACCTCGCCCAGACGCGAGAGAGAGACACACACACACACATACACACATACACATATCGATTACCCAACACACACACACACATACACATATCGATTACCCAACACACACACACACGTGTCATCTCGCGTCTCCCTCACCTTCACTACATCCCCTCCCATTCCCTGGTGGCGGCCACCCTCCTGAACCCCCGTCCCTTCCCCCATCATCCCAGGCCTCCCGCGTGAAGACCATCTTGCTTGAGACCGGCGACACGCGGCCTGGACTGGAGGTGGGCTCCCAAAGGACACTCAACGCGGCGCGGGCGGTGCAGTCCGCTGCGGCCCTCAGCATCTCGGGCGCTTTCCGTAAGTCGTTTCCCTCCCCGTTTTGCTTATCCGTAATTACCGACCTCTGTAGCTGGTTGGTAGTTGTACTCAACCGCTGGAGTCCACGTGGCAGTACGGTTCATGAGGCATCACATTCGGGTGTTAGCCATCTTAGGGATTGCCTTTTTTTCCCGTTCAAAGCCTGACGTAATGAAAGCCGTCCATCATCTCCAATCCCGCCCTATACCTATAGGGATGCCTTCCCACAATCTGTCTGTCCCTCAACTGTCCCTTCCCGCTTTGCGCTCGCTTCCCTCTCCAACCCCACGTCCACCTCCACATCCACCTCGCCGTCCAACGTCCAACGTCCAACGTCCAACGTCCACGTCACAGTGTTGGCTCCAATGATTGTCAACGTGTCCGCCGTCAGCGGTGCACTAGTGCGAGCGTATTCCGAGGAGTACTACCGCGTCAGCGCCACCGCGCGCGACACCCTCCAGGCGGCTCCCACGACATCTTTGACGCCCTCCCCCGCGCTGAGCATCGCCGGACTCACGCCCATGGCAATCGCCGCCAGGGTATGCCAGGGTCGGTTTTATACTGCCGTACATCCGTACATTCGTACAAGGGCAGGCGCCCATCGCAATTGGCGTAAGAGTCGCGTTAGGGGGCCCAGAAGGACTTCACAAAACACTTTACAAAGACTGCAACCGCAATGGCGGTCGTAGTGTCGCTGTCATTAACACGCGTTAATACCGAAAGCATGAAAGAGTGTCTGGTGACCGCGTCAACCCGTAGCTGTCTGCCATCGCCCTCTCACACACAAACATACTTACCCACACAAACACACTTACCCACACAAACACACATATCCACACAAACACAAAATAAGATGAAAACCCACAACGTACCGTTGCGTACGGTACGTTGTACGGATGAGTTCGCATGTTCTGTGCTGTGAATATGCTGACCTGCGTAATGTGGGACGCATGTGGGTCGCGAGCGGCCAATGTTCCGTTATACGTTATATGGCAACTGACCGTTGTTGACCAGTAAAACACATACATACACACGAACACGGGCATTGAAGGTATGCGCCCTGCCCTTTTCGGGAGCCGCAGCCGTCATGTGGCCAACACATGCTAAGGTTTTCATTCCTCCTTTAGCACATCGTAAGCTAATGCAGTTTCGTTTATGTTGCTGGGCCTTGGAGGCAAACAGAGCACGAAGAGGCAAGTACCATGTCCCCAGGGGCCAGCGTTTTTGCCGCTGTTGTGGTACTAATAGCCGAATCGAGGATGAAAAACACGTGTTATTGGAATGCCCAGCCTATAATGATATTCGTGCTGAAGAGGGATTCGATCATCAACAGAGCATGTTGGAGGCCATGAAATGGGAACCAGTACGTCTGGCGAGGATGTTGGAGCAGATGTGGGCTCACCGAAGCTCAATTACCCCCTTTGGACGCTAGTCTGGGCTGATGTGCGGTGTTTCCTTTTCTCCGTGGCTTTTAGGCACTGTAGTATTGCCCTTGGGCCTTCGGCTTGTATGGGTAGTTTTACAGGTATGGGGTCACGCACCCCCCAACCATGTAAAACACACACACACACACACACACACACACACACACACACACACACACACACACACACACACACACACACACACACACACACACACACACACACACACACACACACACACACACACACACACACACACACACACACACACACACACACACACCCTGCCGTGCGCATGATCTTTCTGGTGGGTGATGGAGATAAACATTTCCTGAACAGCCCTTTCCTAAATCCCAGCCCCTTGGAATTCAAATCGACCCAAAACCACTAAAGCCTTTCGCCGCCCTTTTTTCCTGCCCCGCCCGCCTCACGCGCGCACTTCCACCTCCGCCGTCCACCTCCGCCTCCCCCGTCTGCAATATCATATCCAGTCCGCCTCCTCTCAATTCCGAGGCTTCAAAATCGTGGGCAACGATGTCGTGGTGGCGGTGCGCGCCAAGGTACTCTTAACGACCCGTGGGTCTTACACCCTCAACCTCTACACCACCGCGCCCCTGCCCCGTGTGTCATTGACTCTGGGCCAGCGCCAAGTCTCCTGGAACGCCACCTCAACCCGCAATATGTATCAGGCAGTCGTTAGCGTTAATACGGTCCCAGGTAAGAAGATGGGGACCCATTACAGTGTATGTGTGTGTGTTGTGTGCCCTTTTGTGAAACAACAAACAGATTACTGCAAGGTGGGGGCCCAAGTGCGATGCAATTGTGGGCGCCACCCACCTGTCATGTGATAACGTTGTGTTTTCAGCCGCCGTAGTTTATGTAGTATAGTCAATGTACGGCATTTAGTCCCACCATCAAACACAGTGTTATGGTGTATGTGTGTGTGTGTCTTGTTGTGATGACACGGGGGCACAACCGCCGTACTTTTTGTAAAAGTGCGCGGCAGGGGGGGAGGGGAGTTGCGTCGTCTCCAGTTGCGTCTCCAGGTGCGCTATCCGGGCTGCAGTGGAATAGGGCGCTGGTTGGGTACCTTAGATTATGTGAGGGCCTGCAACGACAGGGCCTGGCTGGCAAGCTATGTACAACCTAGGGCTTGGCTTATTGGGGGGGGGGGAAAGCAGGGCAGCAAAGCTGATGAGTTCCGGTAGGAAATAACTGTATCGGCAATTTTCCTGAATTCATGGGGTGCTTTATGGATTTTGACCTACGAAGAAGCTCAATCAATGGGCGATAGTACGAGCACCGCCGTACAAAGATCCTTGTCGTTTTGTCTGTCTTGATTTGACTAATAACTAGTTCTCGTACGCTCCCAGCTCTCCCAGGCTGCCCACATCCCCCCAGCTTAACACTCCTGCGCCCTTTTACCTTGTTAGTTGATCAATGCTAAATCTGTTGTTCGTTAATGCATTTGCTGAATCTGTTGTTATTTAATTAATTTGCTGAATCTGTTGTTCTTTAATTAATTCACTAAATCTGTTATTAGTTAATTAATGTGCTTAATCTATTCCTTATATCAATAAACGACAAGATACCCCCTATATTCGTACGTCCTTTCACTCCCCTAGGCTGGTACGAATTCGAGCTCCTGTACGGCAATGGTGGCAACGAGGGCATCGACCTGAACTGGCTCCGTCCCGGTCAGACCGCGTACGGTCCCCTGCCTGAGGATTGGATCTTCACGGCGTCCATGGCCCCGGCGACGCCGCTGCCGTACGTGCCGCGCGACTTGCCCTCCGCGACCAACTCCCCAGCGTCGGAAGTCGCCGTCAGCCCCGGCGGCTGGCAGGTGCTTTGGAGCACTATGTCTCCGCCGCCGCCAGATAGCGACATCCCCATCAATAGCGTTGCTGATCCGGCCGGGGCGCGTGTGTTTAACCCAACCTTCCTGGCGTCGCTTTCCAACCCCTTGCAGTACTTTCCGTACAGTGTGTTCGTCGATGAGCTGAACTTCCTCAACAACGTGACGATGGTGACGGCCCTGGCTGGCGGCGGCGTCGACCCGCGTCAGGCTGACGCCCGCGTGGTTTCGGCCGCCGCCAGCGGCCCGGTGTACGGCATTGCGACTACGTACATTCAATCCCCCGTCGACGCGCCGCTGACAGTCGCATTCCGCGTTACGTGTGTCCAATGTTCGTTGTACATTGACGGTGTTTTATTCCACGAAACCATCGACACGAGCATCACCCCCGGGAGCGCCAACCCGCCCCCCGTCTCCACGCGCATCACCCCTTGCATCACCTTGGATCCAGTACGGACAAACAACACCGTACGACCAGCCACACGGCCACGACACGCCCTGCAAGTCCGCTTTGCAGCGCGAACCCGCGTACCCGCGGCGGGTCTGCTCGTGCAGCAGGCCGCATGTGTGCCGGGCCAGGCCCTACCAACAACTTTCGCCAACGTGCGCGACATTGCGGCGCCGGGCCCCTGGTACCAGGCGGCTGGCGCATCCGCGCCCAGCAGCCCCGGCTCCATTCAGTGCGACATGTGGGATTACGAGGTCATCGGCCAGGCGGGCTACATGGGGCTGGGATCGATCCCGCGACCGGAGGACTTCCCCCCAGCGGCGCGCTTCCGGCTGCCCAACAGCCGCGCCTCCATCACGCCGTGCAGTCCGTTCGGTGCATTCTGCCCCGCACGCCTCAACTTTACGACCCGGCCTGCCGTAAGTTTGTATCTGTAGCTCTTATATATCCGTAGGTCTGCCTGTGTACATGTTTAAAAACCCTTAGCAAACCCTTAGTCAAAACCCTCAGTCAAAACCCTAAGTTAATCCCCTAAGTTAAAACCCTTACATGTTGGAATTTCGGTACCTGGCTAACCTGGACGCGCGCGCCCTTTTGTCTTTTGGTTTCGTCTCTCGCCTAAATCGGTGCGGTTATCTGTGCACACTAACCCACGCAGGACATCATTCCCCAGGACCAGCTGCCGGACTATTTGTACGTTCGCTGCTGGGCCTGGTGGTCTCGTGGTTTTAGCAATGGTCAGATGATGGTCCGATCCGCAGGGTCCCTGACGATGGCCGTTTACCTGGGCGGACAACAGGCGAGTTGGTGTAGATGTGATATGATGTGATAGACCAGAAAGCTGCACTTTCTTACAAAAAGCACTTCGCAGCTGTGTGTGGGCTCTCCGGGGTGCGAATGTATGCGCGACCGAAGTTAGAGCTCTTACTACGACGAATTCATTGGAAGGCCATCCGCTAGTGCCTGAATCTTGCGCCTCACTCTCTCTCTCTCTCTCTCTCTCTCTCTCTCACGCACACACATACACATACACATATACACATACACATATACACATACACATATACACATACACATACACATACACATACACATACACATACACATACACATACACATACACATACACATACACATACACATACACATACACATACACATACACATACACATACACATACACATACACATACACATACACATACACATACACATACACATACACATACACATACACATACACATACACATACACATACACATACACATACACATACACATACACATACACATACACATACACATACACATACACATACACATACACATACACATACACATACACATACACATACACATACACATACACATACACATACACATACACATACACATACACATACACATACACATACACATATACACATACACATACACATACACATACACATACACATACACATACACATACACATACACATACACATACTTCCTCCAATTCCCGTTTTGATTCGACGCTAATGCAGGTGTTCCAGTCCTTGGGCTACGGCGATACAAACCCCTACAGCAGCCAGAGCCGCGCACCAAACACGACCTCACTAGCGGGCAACTACCGACAGATTCTGGCCGTTGAATGGCACGGTGTGGGGGCCTGGACGCGGCTGCAACTTGTCGACGGCAGCGCCGCGCTGCCGCCAGACGGCTCTGCCGTCGTTATTGACGGCTCCTTTTTCGCACCCGCGCCCTAAAAAGAAGCGTGTACCACATGCGCATGCACATGGAGGACTTCGCGGGTTGAGAGATGGTACGTGGAGGAGAGCTCGCGTAGGATGGACTTGAAGCGCAAATGAACGAATTCTATAAAGGAAAGAATATATATGTGTGGTAACAGTCCTGCGGCCTTAAGGCTGCCTAACTTTTGCCGTAAGCAGCGGTGAGGCAGCGCGTGCGTACGTGTGCGGGGATGTGTGCGAGTGACGTTTCACGTGCCGATGTCCGTATTTTGGTGTTTGGAATTTATTCTGCGTGAAGCGCGTACAACATAACGTCGTTCTGGTTTTCCTTGCATTGGTTGAGGAGGGTGCGTGATGAGAAACAAAGATACTGTTGTACGGCACGCTTCAGTTGCGAACAGGGCCTCGCACACAGATCGCGTCGTGTCGGTACATGTATTTATAACTGATGATTGTATGTGGCTAAAGGATTATTGTGATTTTCCTGTGCTGGTTGGAAGGGTGGTTGCGAATTGCTGCTTGTTAGTATTAGTACTGTTTCGATGGCGGATCTATTTAAAATCCTTGTAGCGCGTTTTCGGTAGTATGCTGCGACGTATGTCTATGTGCAGGCATGGGACGAGGCAGGTAGGAGAGATAGAAGGTCGTTTCGAACTTCGCACGTCTGGCGGCTATTTGGGGATCCGGAAGGATGGATGGATAGATTGGGCGCATCATCCAAAAAATGAGACTGGCTGGTAAAAGTGTACCATGCAGACCTCAATTCCTGATACTTGCTTCGAAATCGGAGGGACGAAATTGAGAGCGGCTGCTGGCCAGAGCGCTTGCTACTATTGCCTAAATCTTTAAAAACCTGCAAGTCACTCTCTGCTTGGCGGGTGGGAGGGAGGGAAAATTGGTTGCGTGAGGGGTATGTTACACGCCTACGTACATACCTACATACATACGTGCCTACATTTGCGCCCGTACCTAATAAACAGGCTAGCAAGCTGGAGGTGGGAGAAGGTACCGGCGGAGCATCGCAGCGCCGTACGGCAATTGCTTTGTTGCTTTTGTTCTGCACTGCAAGCACAGTACGCCACGGCAAGGCAAATCGTGGTGTCTGTAAAGCACGATTGTCCTGCGTGGATCAACCTGCCGTAGTAGAAGTAGTAGTAGTAGTGATCATTTGCTTATTACCGTCAGCGATGGCTGCTTTTGAATTATGATGCGCATGACTTACAAGTGACGCTATGCAACTTATTATTGGATGGTTTACATATCACTAAAAAAAATTACGACGAACCTCAGACCAACCCAACCAAAGATAAAGACCAACGAAGGGACCCACTAGGAATCTCTTCGGAGCATCACTCTACACTATTTGTTTGCTCCGGAACCAAATTTCCTCTTACCTCTGATGAATCGGATTGACCCGGAACGCCCCGGCCGTTCAGCAGCAAGGCAACAGAAATTGCAGCAGCGCCGAAGAAACACGTTCACGCGCATACCGGAAAAAAAGTGGGGGAAACGCGGACACATGTACGGCACGGTACGGCAAAATCACAAAATACAAATTACATGGCGGCCCTATTTCAATTTTACGTTTTACTCTGTTCTATTCTACATCAGACATGCCAAAAGCCTGCGCCCGCTGGGCTCCCTGAATTACACGAGGAGGGAAGGAACGCGAGCGTCAAATTCAAATGTGCAATAAAATAAAACGTGTACGGCGAGCAATAGAGAGTTCCATGAGGTCGTTTCGAGTTGCGCTTTCAGGTGCCAGAGCGCGCCACTGACAAGCTGTTCTCCCGAAAAGGAAGACAGCACAGCGTTACGGCTGAAACGGGGGCAGTCGGCCCCGACCTGCGTGTGTCTTCGTTCCCCCGACGATATCTGCAGGAGCCCGAGCACGTACGTCTGTATGTATACAACGAGCACCCTACCCCACATGACGACCTTAACGCGCGTTCACCTCGCCAGCCTCCAACTCCGAGGACAGCGCTATGGCAGCCACGCTCTACAGTAAAGGCAAAGGGGGCGCGGGTCCAACACACGACTGCTGTCCGCAGCGCCACTGCTGGTGGCCGAAGGCTTAAGTGGCCGCCAAGCCCAAATCCAGACCGGGGCGCCCGTGCACTACACTCGATCTCCCAGCGGGAACGGCAAAAGGCGGTGGGTCTAACAAACGGAGAGCGCATGCGGCCACAAACAAAACAGGGCCGCCAAAGCGCACACGGGTGCTAGCCACCGGACCAACGGTGGCGTTGCTTTGCTTTTCCTAACCACCGGGAGATTCGGAGGAAAGGACTCAGGCGAGCCAAAGATGAGCACTTAGCGACGCCGCTTCTCATCGCGTGCGTAACGGCCATAGTCTTCTTCACGCCGCATGCTGTCCAGCTGCCCAGCGCCGCCTCGTGTGGTGGTGCCGCCAAGTCTCCGGAGCGACCGATATGCCGCCGCACCAGCCTGCAGTGGGGAGAGGAGGGTAGTGGGGAGATGACCGACCGCGGGGTTTTGGCCTTCGACCCGAACCTTCGCCGCAGAAACCAACACCTCTAGCTGATTTGCCAGCAGCTGCTGCTTTTGCTGCTCTGCCATTTGCGGTCGTAGCGGAGCGAAACCGCTCTTCTTCATGACCGACTTGACTAAGAGGGCGCCAGCTGGGGCGCTGCCGGCCGTTGGAGGAGGACTAGTAGTAGGAGTAGGTATGGAGCGGCCGCCGGCGGAACCGGTGGTAGCCCCGAAACCGCCTGTGGAGGGATTTATCCGCATCGCGCCATCCTGCACCTTCGCAACTTGCTGCTGTAGCTGACGTTGCTGCTCGATAGTCTTGTTGATGTTTGTGTGTTGAAGTCCGCACCAGACGTTGTAGTTGATGCCGCTGGGGTCTTGAAAGAAAGACGGTAAGAAGCTAAGGCTTCGATTTTCATGCGAGCTCTGTACTCTAGCAAAAACTGTTTTGAACTAGCGGCTACAAAAGAAGAAGCTGAAACTCTACTGAGTGAAAGGCAGAATGCCTGAAACGAGGGAGCGGAAAAGAGTGCCACTCGATCGAGGTTGTACGATAGTCACACGAAACCAGACTTAGAGGCTCCGATTGCTTCGCGTCGCATTTAAGTCAGCTACATGAGACATGCGATTTTTTAATTATGCAGTCTTATGTAGTGGCACTAACTAAGCCATAATAGTAGCTACATGAGAAACGCAGCCCAGGGAAGCTGCTAGGGTGAGGGGAGCCTATTTAGGAACCGTCGGGAGCCCTTGGCTGGTCAAGCCCTGTAAAGAAGAAGAAACGAAGGCAGTGCCAACGAGGACTTGGTCATCTGTAACAAGTAACAAGATTCGCATGTCCAGCTAGTTGCAGTTTCTGGTAGCAAAGTGATGAAAAAGCGCTCCAATTAAGGAATATGGTGGTATTTGGGCGGTGAGGAATTCGTGAGGTATTATTGGCTGGGAACCAGCTGATGCGAAAGTGCAGGTGTTATTGAGGCGAGGGGGGCCGAGAGCAGCGTGTGCGTTAAGTCTGTCTAGCACATGGCGCGTCGAGGAACGCTTAGGCAACACACCACACCACACCACACCACACACACGAGTGTCTGTATTGATGTATGTATGTTATTCACGTGCAGGTCATCATTGTGTATTACCGACTGCGCGCCATCCATATCACCTGCACGCGCACGGGCACGGAGCACTAATATCATAGATACCCTGCACAGCGCAAGCCTGCTGCTGCTGCTGCTGGTGTAATCCGCTCCTCCGGTTCGACAACCCTTCCCGCAAACGTCCTTCCTGATAATATCCTCTGTTTTTTTGACCTTGGTCCTCGCTTCGCGAAAACGCAACTCTGCGAGGTGTGTTCTCGTACTTGTTGTATACGCCAGAGTCCGCAGCCCAAAGGATTCCGCTTTCCCTATATAATTTCAAGATTTTTAAAAGTTCATAATGTCTTTCCTTTTTCTCCTGGACAACAACCGCACCGCACAACGCACGCAAACGGTCAAAAATAGACTCAATCTAAACCAGCAGTATGCCAATACGTCTGGAGCGGGCACTCCCTGCTTACCATCCATCCCACTTTCGTCATCCGCCTTGCCCCAAAGGAAACCAACCTTTATGGATTTCCGACAAGCACAAGCAAGTAACTGCTAAGACATGCTAAGACACCTCCAGAAGATCAAAAGCCCCATCGCTATCTTGTCTTGGCACATTTCCGCGTTGACCAGAGGCGGGTCGCGGCCGATCTCGATGATCCTGTGGACCATAAAAGCTATAAAAGCCTACGCCCCGTTTTATGGAAGGCTTGCGCAACCGACCCAGCTAAAAACATCCACCCAGGCGGGGACAGGAGAACTTCCACAAGCTCCGGTGGTCGCAGATAGAAAACCGGAAGTGATGTGGGGGCTGTGCGGCCGAGAGCAGACAATAACAAGCCCGACGGTGACCGCGATGACCTCGAAGGAGGCTTACAATGCAGACAACGATTACAGCCAGGAAGATCAAGATCAATGTGGTGACGGCACCCACAGGCCCGAGTCAAGAGGGCGGATAGAACAAACGCCAAAAGCAACTCCCCGAATCTGCGATGGGCCTGGTCCCGATCGTCTTCGTCCTCGTCTTTGACACACAAGAACAACCACGCGTTGCTGCAATCCTCTTGCTGCTCCGCTTCTCTGTCTCTCCCACCCTCCCAAGCATCAGCATTACATCAACGGCAATCCTCCCAAGACCCCCGGCACAGACCCTTGCTGCTGGTACCGCCATCGCCACGCATTGCTATAGCCACCACCACCACCACCACCATCGCAACGAGCAGGAGGAGGAGGCCTTTGCGTAGGACCCACCATCATCGTGGTAGCGATGACATCTAGCTCGAGTAGTACAACCACCAACCACTCCTCCCATTCTGCAAATGTACGGCAGCATCATATGCGGCCATCGGAACAACCAACAGGACAATGTCCAGAACGTACGGCAAATCGTGTCATCATCATCCTCGCCTCTACGCATGTACCTCTCTTAGGGTTGTGGGATGACGCAAATCCGCAAATCTCGAGAGAACGAACTTCAAATATAATCAAAACCAGCCCACACGATCAATCTTTCATTTGCCTCGCGCAGCGGACGACGTATCTACATATCTAGCTACTCATCTATCTGCTGGCGATGAGACTAGATAGATAGGTAGATAGAACAGATTAGCTGTTAGCGCCAGTGTCGTCCACACTATTTCCGCAGACCCGTGGTTCATTTGCAGGACGATAACATGGGTGCATATTCCAACTTACACGATAACCCACTGGTGACGTCATCCGTACAAGGGCAATGGACAACGACGGCAGCCGTATTAGCAACCGCAGCAGCAACGGCTGTAGCAACGGCTCCAAATTTGTGCTTGTGTCGCAGCGGGCACGAGGGTTCTACCTTCCCTCTTCCGCTGCTTCTTCATTAGGGGACACCATAGGGCAGTAATCAATTAATCAGGAACACAGACCAAAAAGAGCGGGAAAAAGAGAAAATACGGCGCCAACAAGGGGGTTTCAATGGTGGCGACTTTCTAGACCCAAACGAACGGGTACGGAAACGGAAACGGGAACGCTGTCGCTCCAAATCCTCCAAATCCAACCACAATTGCCTTATCCCCCGGCCCCCCACCGGCCCCCATAGACCTCTCTCCCTCTAAGCACATATCCGCTGTCCCGATGCGCGCATTCCTTTGCGCGCACACACTACTACACGGCGCGGGAGCGCTTGTGCCGCTTTTGCTCAAATGTGTAGCGACATGAGAGGTCAGGGGAGGCCGATAAAGATATAACAACAGCAAAAGGGGGGTGCATCAAAGGCAAAGTGCGCAGCAGCAACATCAGGGCCCCGGAAAACCCAGGTGCCGCTGCGTTGTGGAAAAAGGAAAAGAAACAATGCGTTCTTTCAGCGCCGCTGCGTTGTGGCAATCTCTCAATTACCCCTACATACCTCGCGCTACAATTCAGACATAAGCTGGAAGGTATGTTGCGACTCTATCACAAACGACAAATCATTGACGATGTTGTTTCCCTGATAATTCACCGTTAAAATTACACGCATGCTTTTTAGGCTATATCAACTGACTCTGAAAAATCATCATCATCATCATCATCTCATCAATCCATAAGTTGCAACCATACAAAGAACATGCACCGCAAAAGCAGCAAATCGACATTGCCTTTAAATGGAACCGTTTTCGGCAGGGCCCTCTTGCCTTTCCCCGGGCCCTGATACAACCCAAGACGCCAAACTCCAACAGAAAACCAGTAGCCAACTAAATTGTGGTTGTTGACTTGGTGACTTAAGAGTGGCGGCGGTCGTCCTTTATGGCCGTACAAGCTGCCGTACATTTTCCCCGCGCGCCTGCACTGCTGTAGGCGCCCACCTCCTGCTTGACCAAACTCATCGTTCGCACCTTTTAAACCTCCCTTTACCCTTCTTCCTTTTCAAGAATTCATACGAAACGACCAACAACACAACATTTCCCCGGAAGACTGGAGAGTGAGCTGAAGCCATTACCCAATAAATTGAGCGACGCCTTTTGCCTTTTTTCGGCACAGTCATCACGACGTCAAAGACCGAATGCGTGTTCATGTGCCAATTGACAATAAGAAGTCACCTTGACAAGGAGTCCAAGAAAAGCTACGACGATGGTGGGTCCAACGCGAACTAGTAAAACAAGATGTTCGACAGCGGGACTAAGCGGAGGCGGCACCTACGCAATGCTCTGTGCTCGTGATTTTTTCGCGCTTGCAAACCCCTACCACCACAGTCAGCTAGATGAAAAAGCAGACGTGCCAAAGTAGAAATTCCAGGACAATCAAGCTCTCCCAAAACGGAGGCCTTTTCCCAATGTAACACTATTATGCCATCAAGGACTTCGAGGAAAACGAGCGAAGCCAAAGGCATACTTGCACCCACCATTTGCTGTCTCACCAACTGCAGTACGCCCTCTCTCCTCAACATTCAGGGCCGAGCGATAATCCCATCCCGAATCCAGATCTAATCAAAAGTCCACTTCATCATCACCATCATCACCAACTCAACACATCCATCCACCAACTTTCATAGCCGGTAGCTAGCCAGCTTACTCAAGAGGAAAACGCCTTCTAGCTTTTGGGGTTCATCGCACCTCCCTTTCCTCCTCCCCACTTGCTTTTAAAAACCACATTCCCGCCAAAATAAAATCCTCCTAGACTCTCAGACAGCACAGTCTCTGGAACACGTTGCCGCACACGCCGGTTGTTCCGTTCGCCACTTCCCTAGCCAATATAGCAGCAACAAGCAGACAGGACTCCGTTTCCTTCCCGGCTGCTATAGATCGCGCTTCGTAGTGGGTCTCTTCTTCTCAACAGAAATAGACGTGCTACTACTTGACTACTACTACTTGACTACTACTACTGCTACTATCACTACTACTTGCCAAACTCGCTGCTAGCTACTACTACTGTGTACAACAATAAGAACATCACTAATCCTAACCCCTGACTGACTAAGTGTGCTGAATTACCTGATTAGCATGATGGAAGAGGCGTTACGAAACGAAGGGACAGGAATGCCTATTCTCCTCATGCCCCACGGCACAACGTGGCTATTAGCTGGCGACCACCTTCCAGAACTACCACACATCTTCCACCCGCTTGCCCAGAGACATCAAAAAAGCAAAACCAACGACGGGCAATAATCCCTACTTCCCCCCTTCGCCTCCACATCCCAGCTAACATTCTTATCCCTACTCAATAAAAACCCTACAAAACCCATCTTCCTCTCCCTCCCCCCCCCTCCTCCTTCTCCCCCCTTTCTCCTCCCCGTCCTCCAAATCTGACCCCCCCCTCCAAGGCGCACACTCTGCACATGGCCACAGACGGAGTCCCGGACCCCGGGAAGGTCAAGGGGTACTGGACAGCGAGTCCAGGAGGGCCGCGACCTTCAGAGCCGCGTGCAGGCTGCGAGCCATCTGAAGATCTTGAGCCGCACCCATAAGGCCCGGCAGCGACAACGCTGCAGTACACAAACCCGCGTCGGCCGCACAACCGACGGCCTGCGGCGGCGACAGCGGTGCTGGCGGAGACGACACCTCGGCGGCAAGTAGTGCCAGTGCCTGCTGCAAAGCGGCGAGAGACGGAGCACCGGGTGCTGGTACGGCAAAGTCACGCGGCGACGGTACGGTAGCAGCGGCAGCGGCGGCGGCGACAGTCGAGACGGCAAGCTCCGATGAATCTGGTGTCGCCTCGTCGATCGCAACCGTTGAAGCTGGCGGCGATACAGGCGGCGTTAAAGAGCTTTGAGCATGGACCGCCAATACAGCAGCGACGGCAGCGGTGTCGGTACCGCTGCTGGCGGCGGACATGTCGTCGCTTCCCGCGATGCTGACGGAGGTCGGTGACGTCATCGTTGCAACGTCAGGCGACGCCTGCATCTGGTTGGGTGCCTTTACCTCCGGAGTGCCTGGTACGGAAGGATCGTTACAACTGACTGCCGTACTGTCGCTCACAGGCGACAAGGACACCGTACCGAGGCTTGTGACTGCAGCGGCGGTGGCGCTGCTCCTACCGCCGCCACCCCCCTGCTTCGCCAGCGCCGCCAATGTCGTCAACAGCGACGTCAACGACGCCAGAGATACCTCGTGGCTCCCCATGCCCCCCACCGAGAAAGGGCCTGTCGCCACCGATGACGTCAAAGATGCCGTACCAAACACATCGCTGCCAAACGCGCCGCTGTTGACCATTGGGGCGCCGCTAGCGGCGCCGGCAAACGGGTTGGCGGGGCCGCCACCGCCGTACGGCGCCACTGACGGCGCCAATGCATTGACGCCAAACAGGTTCATGTACGGGTTTCCAACGTACGGCGCTGACGAGGCCGCCGCCACGGCGGCAGCCGCTGCTGCCGCCGCTGCAGCGGTAGAGCTATTCGCTGCGAAGCCGCAGGGCGCACTTGTACCGAAATGCGACAGCTGCTGCAATTGTTCCTGCGAGACGGCCGTCTCATCCGGCGGTGTGGGACAGCAGTCATCGTCGTCACTTGCACGCTGGTATAGAGCAAAAGGACTGCGGACCTCCGGAAGTGTTGCCATGACGGCGGCCACATCGGCGCTAGGGGGCTGCGGTACAGGTGCCCGCGGCGGCGGCGGCGGCGGCGGCGGCGATGCCGATGACGTCGACTGGGGCGTTAAGCCGCTGCCGGAGCTGGGATGCCGCGGAGGCGGTGGCGGAGGCGGCGGCGCAAAGGAGCCACCACGGGCTGTAGCCGAGTTCCGAGAGTATAAACCGCTAGCGCCGCTGCCCATGCTGGCCAGCCGGCCGCTATCCGTCGGCGGCGGCGGTGGCGGTTGCTGACCAGTGAAGCTGCCGCGGCCGTTGACGCCGCTGCCTCCAAGAGGAGAAGGGCTCCGAGCGACGCCAGGCAACGTCGTCGCGGTCGCCGCCACCGCCGGTTGACCGGCAGCAGCATGGTTGTGCGCGGATGGAGGCGGGGAAGGCTTGCCCGACTGAGACGAAGCGGCGATGCGCTGGGCCGCCAGCGTCTGGAGCTTCGACGACAGTTCAAGAGCAGCAGCCAGGCTGCTGTCAGTGCCGTCCTGCAAGGCCGCCGCCACCAGCATCTGAGCCTCCTGTACGGTAGGAAACTTGAAACCCGCAGCGGTGTCAACGTCACCGCCAGCGGCGGGGACGGCGGCGGCGTCATAAAGGCCGTCGGCCGTCGGGCCCGCACCTGGCGAACGCCTCGGCGGCGGCGGCGGCGGTGGAAGGATGGATGGATAGCCGTTGCCGTACTGCGTATTGAAGGGGACGGTGGACGAACTGGACGAGCGGCTGCGAAGGCACTCCTGGTCAGAGCGTGGCGGCGGCGGCGGTGGCGGTGCCGGAGGCTGGAGATGGGCTGATGGCCGCGGTGTAATGCTCTTACTAGGCGGCGGCGGAGGCGGCGGCGGAGGCCAGCAGTCCACCGCAGCAGGGGCGGCTACGCCGCCGGGCGTGCCGGCGGCGCCGCCACGGGAGCTTTGGGTGACCAAAACCGAGCCGTCGCCTGTGGCCGTCGTCAGCGACCCCAGGTCAAGAGGCGGACAATACGACGCGTGGGCGGTAGCGCCGTCACGCGGTGGCGGCGGCGGCGGCGGCGGCCCGCCATTGTTGTAGTTGCTGCCGCTGCTGGCGCTATTGCGGCGCACAAAGCTGCGGTTCAAGGAAGTGCCCCGCTGCCCTGCGGGCCCATCAACCGTTCGCTGCACCGCCGCGGGTACGGCACCTCCGCCGTCACGCGGCGGCGGTGGCGGAGGCTGGCCGATGGCATAATACTCATCATGGCTAGCTCCGGAACCGTAGTCCGAATTGGCCGCTGATCTGCTGTGGATGGGAGATTGGCGTGGAGAGGCGTTGGAACTTGAGCTGGAAGAAACGCGGACCCCGCCGGCCGGGGAAATGGGTGATTGCGCAGCCGCCGCAGCAGCAGAGGTAAAAGTTGCGGCGCCGCGGGGCGGCGGCGGTGGCGGCGGGAGTGTCGCAGGAGGACGAGGGCTGGCAGCGGCGCCGGCAGCGATGGAAAGTGAGGAGGAGGCGCCTTGGTTGTGCTGGTGATAGTTGAAGTGGTTGTAATTGTGGTTGTGGTGGTTGTGATGAGAGGAGTACACGGAACGATCCGGAACGCTGCGTGAAGTGGGCAGTAGAGGGGGAGGTTGCTGATGGAGTTGGTACTGTTGGTTTTGAGAACTCGAATTGGAGCGCCCGGCAACGGAGTCCAAGGAGGAGTCAAAGCTCCAGGGATTATGGGGGGGAATGATGGCCGAGGTGGAAGGTTGCAGAAGTTGAGTAGGTAGTGCAGTAGGCTTGTAGGCGGGAGGCTTCGAAGGCTTGGCAGGCTGCGCAAACTCGATAGCAAAGGTCAAGTCGGCTGGCAGCAGGCTTTCCAGGTTCAGATCAATACCGTCAGACTGCTGCTGAACCTCGGCGAAGGCGGATGGAGGATGACGGATGGGCGCTGCCGCCATGCCGGGACGGACAACCTCGGCCATGGTTTTTGTGGCCACAGGTTCAAGCGGTGGGGCCTAAGCAAGCCGAAGTGGAGGGCAAAGCGAAACAGGAAAGCAATAACGGGATGGAAGATGAGCGGGAACGTCGACATAACGGCAGCCTGACGAACAGCACTTTTTACTTCTAAAATGCTCAAAACACCGTTATGCATACACGGTATGTGCAAGTATGCCGTTGCAAATCCATTTGGGGCGTCCCTTGTAAGATGCCGCTAAGATAAAGACATATCTTCTACTGTTGCGGTGCAAGACATGTAAAAGGAAGCAGTTAATATTCAATTGCAACAAATAACATCGCAATCCTTGCAAGCGGAGAAACTCGCCAAGCAACCGCAAGGAGGGTCAGACCTCACGCCGAACAGACGTCTGCTAAATGTCTAATAAAGGCCAACAGGTATTGATGCATAGAGCCGCAAGCCGTGGAGAATTCATAAGCTTGACGCAGAAAAGACCGCGACACCTCAACACGGTTTCAGCGCGACCCACCTAGTCCAATGCTAGCAGGAGTAAAACGAGATGTATCGAGAGGATACTCTGCCTCGCTGGAATAGCGGACGTGTCGGCGGTTGCCAACGCAGATGTTCAAATGCGCTTCACAACGTTCCTAGTTATTTTCCAGGAAGACCTCCTCCGCTGATGGTGAATAGCATGGGATCAGGCTGGAAGGAACTTCTCAAGGAGGTGGCACGATGAGTGGTGCTGAGAGTGAGGCGTGGAGGTGCAGGGTAGATTCCGCCAAAACTATATTGTATCTAATAGTGCGTGCAATCTAGGCTTCTCTAAACTATATGAGAGCCCATGTTGCGCGCTGCTCTTGCGAATGAAGCATTGGGACGCATCAATCATGTTGGGTCCGTGCACCCGTGCACTGGCGGGCGGCTCTCTGTTGCAGTACGGCGGAAACTACTGTGTCCAACTCCCAGTGAGATTTTGTGTAATCAGGGTTCAAAACCTCAGGAGAACGAAGGACAGCGTAGAATCCTTGACTTGTTGGGGACTAGAGTTATCCTTTAACTTCGCAGCGGGAAAAGTGCAACGTCCTCGCAAGTATGTAATGTCAAAATCTAGCCGCAAAAGGATGAAAGCACTTTCTTATGATAATCTTAAACGGCTCATTGTTGCTCTTACAAAGAGGCGTCACAGGTATAATCGTAACAGTACGTGTGACGTGCCGAAGGAGCTGCTGAGAAACTCTCTGTTCTTCAGGACCTGACAACAATAAACAGTACTGATGATTGAATTTGTCACCGGCGCACATACAAGCGTAGCTAAGGAAGCGTTCTTGCATGGTTGCGCGTCTCGCTTGAAGCCGTATGTAGCTATCTAGCGCACATAAATTAAAGAATGGTTTTTATTACGTATTGCTTCCACTCTTAATACAATAATAACTCCTGCCGCTGACACGCCCTCATGAACCGCCATCCGCTTGACACTTAAGCCCGTCACATCCTTTCAGATGAACCATTCGTCCTAAAGCCCATGCTTTTAAACGTCTCTCCTGAAAGGGCAATCCTAAGGCGTCGTAGCTGACCCGGTATGACCCGTTCAAAAGTCGCGCCAAGCGCATGAAGACCACACCCCCTGCTAGCAACGACCTTCCCTGGTCGCGACTTGGCTGCTTAGCTAATTATCTTAGACGCAAAACATCAGAGGCACCTCCAGGACCCCGCGTTCCGCGCGTTCCCGCTCCTCATACGGCCTTTAACCGTGTCCATGACGCGTGTGCCGTGACGAAAAACCGCCCCAGGGTTCGCCGCATGTCTGGTCAAAGGTGCGTCTGTTCGGGCCTGCGGGAACACATCGCCCAGCTGCGAGAAAGCGAAACTGCCTAGCCGCCAAAACCATCGAATCCCGGTTTCGAAAATGCGAACGATGAAAGGCGCGCCTTGGGCCCGGGCAATTTTGATGCAATATTGGAACTTAGTGATGATCCTTTCACCGTGCCAAAACATTGAGCATGCTTGAATTTTTTTGGTTTCACTGAATAGAAATTCTCTCACAAGTTTTGTTCAGTCAGCTCGCAGCCGCTGCGCATTGTTTTGGAAGCATTTGAGACGGCATCAAGGCTCCGGAACCAACTCAGTCCCAGTCAACAATACCCGTTGCGACACTGCGCCATCCAATCCACCCTCGGACTCCCTGAAGCCGAACAGCAGTTTTGAGACTCTTCCTGTACTGGAAACCTGACGAACTTTAAACGGTGTCTGGACCCCACGAAACGCCGTAGCTCGTGCATAATTCACCGTCGTGCGAGCATGCATGTCTAAGTTGCATGCATGCTCAGCTTTCACCTCCATTTGCTCTGTCTGTTCTGGTGCCTCATGCTGGCTGGGCAGCTATCGTGCTTTCCAAGCAGTCATGCTTTTTAAGCCTGGCTCGCGTCACTAGTTGACCTGGCTCATAAACGGCTCGCACGGTGGCACGCTAATGTCTTTTTGTACGAGAAAAGGCCACAACGCCATTACAGATCAAACGCAGACACACCACCCATTTGTCGTACAGGAACCACTTTGCCCGGAGTAAATGACATCGGCCGCAGAGACAGCACACCGCGCGTGTAGCGTGTGTAGGGTGTCGTACGTACGGGCGCCCACCTTGTGCACATCAGGGTTATTCTCCTTGGGACTTCCCCGAGCCTGTTTCCTTAATGTACATGGCGTAAAGAGGGAGAGCGAGCGCCGGATGTTGCCTAAAAAGGACGCCGAAGGTCACAATCAACAAACACGGGCAGATGCCGTGCAGCGCTATCGAAGGCCTGTGCACACCTCTAACGGCACTGCCAAAAAGAAGTGAAAACCGCGTTGGTGGTTTATACGTGCATGGGGGGTATGGAGCGCACCGTGGGTAGGGTGGGTGGGTAGGGGTGTGCGAGTGGGTAAGGGTGTAAAGGAGTTCGCGAATCTTGGGACGATGGATTGGAAGGAGTCGAAGTACGGATATAAATAGGAATGGGTGTAAAATCGCGCCTTGAAGGGGGGAATCGCTCAGAGACACCAGCAAGACAGACGACCCGCTTCATATCTTCGATCTTTGGGCTTTCATCTGCTCCCTCCAGGGTTTGGGAGCTTTCAGAAATCGGCTTTGCACCGAATGCTTTCCACGGAATGTCCTACTAGGCCGCGTTGTCCTCTGCAAGCAGCGTCTGCCGGGCAAGCCTGCGGCGCGAGGGCGGACCATCCTCGCGGGTTACGATGATCGTCCAGCCTTACAACCGACCGACTCAATGGTCCACCCCTCGAACGTACTGACAGGGAGGCAACGGAGGGCTATACGGCCTGACTCACTCGCTCTGACTGGAAAATTGGGCGTCCAGTTTTTTTTTTGGTAATATATTACTTTTTGGGGAATAAATGGGGGTCTGAGCCTGGAAGAAATGGAATCGTTGGGTCAGTTGGTGTACTGGTTCATTACTTCGGCCATAAGTCGTCCCAAATGCCTTCTGCACATATAAAGCTGACCATTTGGAGCTTATACACTATTTATGATGTGTGAAACAGGGGGGTGTATCTTCGCCCGTGGCAGCTACCCTGCGAAACCCTGCCTTCCCCGCGGGTATTTCGGGGCACCCTCATCCAGTCACCCTAGTCAACTTCTCAGTGGATCGCTCAGGTTCCGCACCCACCACCAGCATCCAACGGAATCTGCCGGGCCGACAGCGGCCCAACTCCATTCCTGGCCGGCTCGCAGGTTAACTTCATCCCAGGTCACCATAGTCCATCAACTAGGGGCACAATGCCTGCTACCATTGGAAGAACTTTTGACCCTAATGGGTATCGATCCCGGAATCTCCCGGGGTCAATGGTGGCGCCTTACCAGTAGTGCCAAACCCTAGTATTTCCTATATAAGATATTTCATCATATCACCATAAGACGGCCCGCTGTTGCATTCAACTTAGGTCAACGGGGCATTCGTTCATTCTTGACCAAAGCAAACGGCTCAGAAACTCCGCAGACGCAATGCCCCAAACATTTAGAAGAAGAATTGTTTACAGCACACCGTAAGGCCTTTGAAGGGGGGGTCTGGGGGGGGCGCAGCCCCCCCCAGCGACTATACAAATAGGAATCGTAACCGCAAGAAACACCCAGTTTATTACTCTAGGGTACTAGGCCCAAAACGAAAAAAAAACACTGTGGGCGTCTGGGAGGTTTCGAGTTTTATTACTCCCCCTGTTCATTAACCCCATAAAATGACTGGATACATCCTCGTACATCTGCACACGCGCCGTACAGCTGCAGTACAGTAATCACCTGTTGACACGGTTTTCAGGGATCGTGATTTAAATTTCAGCATTCACGGTTCACGGATAGTCAACCACGTGCTGCTTCACAAGGTCGGCAGCAGGGTGCGAGGTCGAGCGGGTCCCTGCGGCGACGCGAAGGTGACAGGACAAGAGCTACTCGAAGTTTTACAACAAGCCCCACGTAAGACGAACGACATGGCGATGAATCGCTGGAGTGATACGAGAGATACGAGAGCCCGTGGGCGGCCATGCTTCCGATATGCGGTAGTGACGTTGATCAGCGAAAAGGCCAAAATATAAAAAAAGCAATGCACACGATGTACATACAATTCATGAGGCGGCACCTGCCCACCACATTTGGTGGGGGTTGGAGGCTTGTTCGACGCTCCTTGCTCCGGCGAGTGCGTCATATAGCTATGTGCGCGTGAAGTCCACAACACAGTATCCTTAGCACCAACCCTCAACCCTCCAAGACAAATCTATGACCCCAAGACCGCCAACCCCGGCAATAGACTACAGCTTTCCTACGACACACAGCCACTGAAGCTCATCATAGTCAGTGGTCAAAAGTGGCATCAAAATCAGACGCGGAAAATCCCAACCACCGAGAAGGTACAAGCAACGTCGCCAAGAAGATAATCGTTCCAGTCCATTCGAAAGGTTTTCGTCCGGGTCGTTATCCGTGTACGGCTCACTGTACGACCAACCGACAGTCAGGAACCCCTTGCAAGGACAGTATTACAGTTTCAGGCAGTCGCCATGAGAGCCATGAGAGCGACCGTCGGGGAACCGTGAAGTCAATTCTGACAAATAAGAAAAGCTTAACCGACCTAACCGAGCCCAACCGAAACTGCTACCGACTGCCCTGTTGATCTCCATCTTGATCCCCTTTCCAAGGATTAGTCAAGCATTCGCAAGACCTTGAAACAATGGTACCTAGAAAGCACATTGTTACGTCCCAAAGCATCATCGTCCATCAAGCTTTTACAACTCATGCACGTCATGAGCACGTGTCCCAGCTGAGAAAGCGACAACGATGCGACCCGCATAGGGCTCACAGGGCGACTTCTGCAAAAACTACCCTCCTGCAAACGCAAACATGACCGAAAAAAAGACGCCGACGCTTCAGTAAGTCTATATTCAACCATTACAACTATACAGAATCTAAGATGATAAATTGCACATGCCATGCAAGAATCTTTGGTCCAAGCGGCAATTAGTCCACGCGCTTCAATTTCAGAAAGATATGTCAAAACCAAGGTTCACGTGAAGCCTTGAGCCAGTGCTCCTTCAATCCGCTGGCCGACGAGCCCACGGTACATAGGGGCCCGTACAGATTTCTAGATCCGGATGTTGACAACTACGTGTTGAAAAAAGTACAGTGCCGTACAGCTCTGACCGAACCGGAATGAAGAAAACCAACGCCTGTCACAACGCCCCAAAGTCCCAAGCGGGCATCAAAAAGGGACGCCCCTCCGTTCACAACGCCATAATAACGCACAGCTGGCAGCTGCCTAACGAAAACTCAGCAATAAGAGGTCTACTAGTAGCGCTAATAGTACACAAGGACAGCAGTTTACGGTGTCTAGGGAGTCTGCTTTCCGAAGCAACAAGGGCAAACACTTGACAAACAAACAGACAGACAGACAGACAGACAGAGCAGGTAGAGGCCATTATTGCCGAGATCATCCCCTGCTCTCAGAGCCACTGCACACAGAGGAAGATTCGACCTCAATATTTTTTTCAAGTTCGGTACAAACTCCACAAAGGGGGGAAGAATGGCCCTCTCCTGGATACATTTCAACTACCTGTACGTGGCCTGCGCTCCTGAACCAATCGTACGGGGCAAGGAAGCGTAACAGCTCCTGAGACTGTACGGACATGAGGCGTACGACCATTTCATGCTTCGTAATTGATGGCAGGTTCCTCGGCTTGCACCGAAAATCCTTTCCTTTCCTTTCGGGCTATTGCACCGCTGTTCTGTAACACACACATACACACATACATACATACATACACACACAGGTTTACGGACGTCTTTCAAGCAAAGCACCTCTCGCTCTCTATGTACACACGCATCCAAACTGTATCTACTCCGCAAAGCAAGGGCGCCCTGTGGGGTCAAATCTACCGAAGAAAGCCCCTCTACCCCCCCCAGAGGAGAGATCACACAGGTTACTTGTCTACGTGAACACACAATGTCACAGTCCGTCACAAAGCAATGCGGAAGGGCCCCCCGCGCGCTTTCTCAGGCGGATGCAACATGCGCATGCAACGCAACGCAACGCAATGCGGGAGCGCCGGTCCTGGCCGCAACACCCAACTGACGGTCACTACGGCACTAGTGAAGGAAAATGATATCTTCCTTCACTTCCTACACCCCATCCCCATCCCCACATCGACCCAGCCAACCCAGCCAAACCCGAGCTCAATGTGCCGGTGACACGGCACCAGCAACTCGACATACATACAGGTCATACCATATAATATGTATACATAAATATACCTGATTCATGCCGAAACCACGGAGGCGGCGACCGAGCCCAGCCCCAACAAAAGACTGGTGCAGTCCACCCCTTCGCACTGCGGAGTGGCAGCAGCCGGGGCTTTGCGGCTACTGCCTATGCTGACAAAGACCATTCCGTCGCCTTCATGCAACGCGCCGCCATGGGAGCATTGGCTGCTGCCGGCGCCGGCACCGCCGCTGCAGACGGGCCTTGGCGTCCCGGCAGGTGGCGGGTCCGCTTCGCCGCCAATAAGCGCGGTTGGCAGTACGGCACCCTGCATTGCGCTGCCGCTCTCGGCACTGCGCCATAGCGGGAGCGGCGGCGGCGCCGCCGATGTTGGTCCAGCTGCTGAAGCACAGCCGCCGCCGCTTGCACGCGGTGTAGGAAGGAAATGCCGTACAAAGCTCGCCTGCGTTGGGGTATCAGGAAAGACCGGCCGCGGCGTCACCTCCACCGTTGTACGGCGACTCCCGCAATGACTGCCGTACTCCGCCTTAGTAGAAACGCGCGACGGTGAATCATTTGCCGTTGATGTCTGCGTGCTGGCGGTGGCAATGGCTGTGGCGGCGTTGACAGCCGCGACGTTGCTTGGGCTTGCCCCCTGCTGCTGCGGGCTGTTGGTGTAGCTGTGTGCCGTCGCCGGTACCGCCGTCGCCGCCGCCGCTATCGCGGCGGCGGCGGCGGTCGGCGACAGGTCAGCAACCATGTAAGCGGCCGACGCAGGCGTCATCACTTCCGCCAGGCCCCTCCTCACGTCCGCCATATGCACATCCTCCACAGTCGCTGTGCACGAGGAGCGCGGAATGTTAGACGACGCTGCGGGCGGCACCGCCGTCGCGGCAGCGCCGCCGTCGCTGCACCGGCTGCTTTGCGCAACGACGCCAGACCCGGCCGGTGCCCCAACAAACAGTCCCGCCTTCGCCGCTCTCATCCCCATAGCGCTATCTGCCGTCTGCAGAGGCGGCAGCTGTTGGTGAAGCTGCTGCTGATGCTGATGCACGACAGCTAGCTGCATAGCTTCCTGAAGCTTCTGGATCATGCCCTGGATCTGCTCCAGGGGGAGCTTGCTGAGATCCAAAAGCTGCTGCTGCTGCAGCGCCCGCAGCTGCTGACCAATCGACAGCGCTACAGCCGCGGCCGCCGCTGCGGTGACGTCAGCCCCATTCTCGGCCGTCTGGAGCTCAAGCGGGCTGTGGATGTAGTTGCTGTGCTGTAGCTGCTGGTGGTGGTGGTGGTTGGGATAAGAATAGCAGCCATCCAGTCCGAGGGTGGTGACGGCGGCGCCGCCGCTCAGCTGGCTTGGCAGCTCGCACCGTGTCGGCGAGTCGATCCGTGGTGACGATGCTGCCGTACTGGCGGCGGCTACCGGACGGGACCGCGGCGAAGCCGCCACCGACGCCGATGCCATTGCAGCACCAGGCCGAGAGCAGGCGGCGCTATGCTGTGCATGGATGCCGTACATCCCGTGTTGTACACCAGCGGTAGCTGTGCTCCCGCCGCTGAAGGCCTGCAGTGCAAGCCCCACCGCCGCGGGAGTGCTTTGGGCTGTTGCGGCTGGCTGAGAGATCACTAGGCCGTTGCGTTGCATTGTCTGAGGCTGCGGCTGAGACTGAGACTCGCATTGCTGCAAGTAACGGGGCTGCTGAGGAAGCGGGTACGGCGAGTACGGCATCCGTATGATTTGCTCACAAGAGTCTGAGTTGACAATCCAGGGATGCTCCAGCAGCTGCCGAACCGTGGGTCGGTCGCCGGGGACGGGTGACAACGCTCTGAGAATGAAATCACGAGCCATCGGCGACACCGAGGTCGGGAAGATGGGGGGAAGAGCCGAGCAGATACGGGTCTCGGCCTACGTAGGGCGTGTGGAGGTATAAGAAACAGGAAGGGCACATGCGACTGTCAGGGGCTGTCCTTCCGGGTCTTCACGGTTGCCCACGTGCTGGAAACGGTTGGCCGGGAGTTGGATGATGTAATATTCCCAAAAGAAGATGCACCTATATAATAAATACATATACATAATATGTATAATATACATATGTATACTCCCAAACAGAAGATGCAAGGCCGAGGGCAAGAGCCGCCATTGCTTGCCTTGTGGAATTCATGTAGCTCTGGGTCCGGGTGCAGGTTGCTGTGCGGGGGGTGCGTGAACAACCAAGACCGCCAGGTGCAGGGAATGAGCCCAAAGCCCCCACATTGACTAAAAGCCCCGCGAGCCCTGACCTGCTGGTCTACCACTTCACAAGGTATCTCTCCCCACGCGCCGCACCCAAACAAGACCAAGGTACCCATAAATTTGAAATCCATAACCTAAATCCAGATCCTACCTACCTGATAGCGGCATTCCGAGGCGTACGGCGGCAGTCCAGTCAGCAGTTCGTACGTAACAATGCCCACGGCCCACACGTCAGTCGCAAAGCCGTATCGTGCTGGTGCACCAGGAGCGGGCGACATCGCCATGCTTTGTTTGATCGGGCAACGAAGGACCTCTGCGCAGTTTTGAATTTTGTAAAGGAGGGAGAAAAGGCGGGAAGTTTAATTATTGATTAGGGTTTAAGGTCCAGGAAAGTCGCGTACCCGACCAATGAGAACGGAGGCGAGGTTTATAGATTATAAAAACTAAACCATTTTGCATTCCATTTTGCAGCCAGACCGGAAACAGCCCAACCTGGATCCAAAATATTCCAAACAGCCCAACCTGGATCCAAAATCAAAAATCAGGATCTCACCTGGTGCCATGTAATCTAGCGTGCCTACGCGGCTGATTGGTCGTTCCTCCACCATGTTAATCGCAAGACCAAAGTCAGCCAACTTTATAGAACCGTCGGCCGCGAACAGCACGTTCTCGGGCTGCAGGTCAATGGATGCGGGCGGCCGAAACGGGGTTTTAAAGAAGCCCTGTAAAGGTCCTGAAAAATTGGCCAGGTCCTGATAAGGGATCTCGGAAAAAGAATGGAATCGCGCTATGCGATGACCAGAAAGCAACCATGTCCGTTTCACACACACGTAAATTTTTCCAAAGGCTTCTAACAGAGGAACGCAGTGTACGGGCGAGCGAGGGAACAGGCACGCCGCCTGTCGGGAGGGCTAGCGGGCTATTGCTTATATTTTTGCCGAGCAGGAAAGAGGGCAAAGGGTTGCTGATTTCGGTACATTTTACTGGCTGAGGAAAACCCTCAAGCTAATGAATCTTCGGACCAACGCATCGGAATTAAAAATTTTCTGTAAGAATTTTCAAGATTTCCTAATCAGGCTACCTTGCCGCTCACCTTCACATCGCGATGGACAATTCCCCAGCGGTGAAGGTACATCAGCGCGGCCAGCAGAGGCCGCATCACAGCCTTGACAACGGTAAGCTCGTCAACCCGGCCGCCGTGGCTGTGCATGAGCGCGAGCAGGTCGCCATTGGGCACGTACTCTTGGACGAGCACAAGTGTATCACCCTCCTGTATTTGGAGGTTCATGTCCAGTCAGGTCAGATCACGTCAGGCTGTGCCGGGTCGAGTCGTGTCTTGTCAGGAAATTGAATATGGAGCACCGTTTTCACACTGTCAGGCGAAAAAACCAAGGAAAAGAGAAAGAAACCAAGGAAAAGAGAAGACAGAAAAAGCCGAAGAGCGGGACTGACGAGCGCAGAGCCAGCACCAGTGCTGGAGATTCATGACACGATAGGCTCCCATGATCATGCTTTCAGCTCACCTCAAATGCGCCAAAAAGGTGGACAATGTTTGGGTGCTGCAGTCCGCTCTGGATTGCAACCTCGCGATACATTTCGTGCTGAGCCACGTCTGGAGACTTGTCGACGTCGTGATAGACCTTCAGGACGACCTCCATACCTGAGTACCGACATGTGGCCTGAGCAAGAACGAAAAGGAAAAGGTGGGGCAGAGTTTTGTCGCCATGTCGCCGCCAACTATCTAGCGACACCCGCTGGGAACCCAGAATGAATCCATGAAACTTTTAACACCTTCGTGCGGATCAATATTGTAAAGAGACACTCCGTTATGCAGCTGCTGAAAAACTGCTTGTCAGCACCAGTAGCAGAAATGCTCCCTATAACTCACCGTGTACACTTGTGCCGCGTAGCCATTATACAATGTCTTGCAGATATGGTAATCTTCCAAGCTCCATTCCTGTCGCTCCATTGCGCAAGGCAAATTTGGCGACACCGCTAAGAGTCGTTGTTCGGCCATAGTGGAGTTGTGTGAGAAACTCAGAACATAACCTAGTAAGATTCACTGGTGCTAGATCAATTTACTTGAGTCCTAAACCATAAGGTCTGTTGACATATGTGTCACCCAACAGTATAGCAAATCTTTGCGTTGTGTTAAGGGCTCGCAGTGAATGAAGCTGATAATAATGTATAAGTTCATGCCACAATATGTTACATAAGCACGACATACACAGCCGTTCCGCAAGCGTGAAGTAGCTATAACGAACATCGCAACCACTGTAAGGCCCATGGAGATAGTGCTACCAGCCAGCGAGCAAAGAAGCAAATACGGATCTTTTGAAGTCGAAAAGTATAAGTGATCATTCAATAATATTTCATTTAATTTTGGTTAACCCTGAACTCGGGCTGGGTGTTCTAGGTTCAACGGCGCCAGGCAAGCGACAGCCAAATTTTATGTTACAACATTAATTGTATATAGCCTCATATTTTTTATCTCGCTCTCTAATTCGCTCGTTGGATTCGTGGGTTGGTAGTAACGCGTCGCGTCGTGTCGTCAGCTTGTCGTCGGTTGTCGTCGTGACATAATATGGGCCTTCCTGGCCAGTCCTGTCCAAAACGTACATGGGGTCAGCTTCCTCAAATTATTTTCTTTCATGTCGCCAGCCTATTCTTGTGATGAACTTCATTCGCGGCCACAACGTTAGTAGTCCAGCAACCGACACAGGTCCGACACTTCGGCCTCATCTAGCATCAAAAAGTGCAACCTTAACACACCTGAAGTTCCACTTAAATGAGACCTAAAATCACTGCCAAAAAAAGGTGCACCAACCCCGCTCGCTGTCCAGCCCCCGCCGCCCCTTTAGCATCTTACAACGCACCACAACACTCGCCCACCGGGATGTGGCAAACTGTCCTCTGTTGTCCTCTTTTCTCTCCTTTCGTCGTACCCAACTCTCAGTCGTAAAGTGTCCCGTCTTTCAGGTCCTTCTCTGAAACCCCACGCGTGGCACCGGTTGAAAATAGTTCCCTTCGAAGCGAGCACCCCTTTTACATTTATGGAGAGAAACATAGTCTACGGCGGAGCGGATGCGTGTACGCAAGCTGCAAACCATCATGCCGGGCAGCTGGCCTTGTCAACTCCAGCCGCCCAGCCGCCCAGCCGCCCAGCGCGTCTCCGAAGCGCCTGCGGAAGCTGTGAAAACTGCCCTTCCCCCGTCCCAAGGGAGGATTGGAAGGCGCCCAAACAATCCTGTAACACCTTCCAGAGCGATGCCTTGACACAGTCCGAAGAGCAGAGCTGTGCTCTACTCAGGACTAAAATGGCACTGGGGAAAACAACCACTGCGTGAGCTCTAGACCGCCTGGCTTGCTGTGTCACTAAAAAGCTTCTTGGTCTGCGTAAGGGAGAAACAACTAGGGGCTATAGAGAGAGAAGTCATTTAAGAGCCTCTTATGTCACTTTAGGAGTTTTCTCCCCTCTGTCATTTTCCCCGTAACTTTTTGCGACACACAACAGAACGTGCGACAGCGCTATTTATATGCTGGTCGATACACAGCTACAGGATGCGATCCTTTACACGTGAACAAACGTTTTAGCACAGCAATCAAAACTTAGATCGCGGACCTCATGTACACCCCTCGTCGTTAATTATGCTGGCTCAGGAAGCTTCCCGGTCCCTGAAGTCCGTTGTTCCTTAGAACCGCGTTGGGCCGCGAATGCTTCAATCCCACCTATGGCTTCCCTGTTTGCAGCCCTGCTGCAACTGACTAACAACTACCTAAGAGCAGGTTTTCTGCCAGAATCCCGCTTTGGAAGGAAGCAGGAAGCATCGCTTTCCTGTTTGGTCAGCGAAGTGCGCCAGTATCCAAGTATATAAGAGTCCTCATTCTGAGCTTGCGCTGTCGGTCCCTTCGCATCCAAGGTGGCGAGGCTGGCTGAACCTTGCGTTCAAGACACGTGCATGTATGATCGGCATTGGTGGCCTGCATGTGACAGGAGGGTAGGATTCGGGCTGGAATTAGGGAAGAGCTCTGTCGCAGAATTAGCCTGGATTTTATTCCTGACAAAAGAATTGGTCTGCCGAGGTCTGGAATTGTTCTGGCGGACCCGCCGGAGGTATTCGAATTGCGCTGTGGAGCCTCGGAATTGGGCTGTGCTGCGCCTGAATTGGCCTGTCCGGGTGTCGAATTGGCCTGGCAGGGACATTCGGACAGTCAGAATTAGCGTGTTCAGGGTGTCGAATTAGGGAAGCACGGGAATTGTGCGACCGGGGCAGTCAAAAGAATTGCTCTGCCCGACAGTTTGTCCTACCCTCTAATGTGACACGTCGGCGATTGCTCAGTGCGGGCACAGCTGGGGGAGGGCGACTCGGCTGAAGGGTGTAAAACCTGTGAACGAACGGAAAGAGATGACTCCATGATGAAGCCCTGAATAATGATTTTTGACTTCGTTAGAAGCGGCAGAATGAGGCAGAACGTCCGTGCTTCGGAGCTCATTCCGCAATCGGAAAAGCGCTCGGATGCAGAGAAAAAAGCATTGCGCAAGGTAGCAATTCCACTTCCACCACCACGATCGGCTTGGCCCCAGCTACAAACAGTTGACCCTTAAGACAGCCAGCGAGGAGAATGACAGAGGCGGTAGGCATTTGTGCAATTTGGGTCGGCGAATACATGATGGGTCCAGTTACCTAATGTTAGCAGGCGCTACCAAGAGAGACCCAACTTGACCCTCCTCTAGCTTTCGGCTAAATTTCTCCCAAAGGAAACGGAGTTACAATGTAATTTGTTGGTTCCGGGATACGGCAGTTTTAAATTGCTTTTCTGAAACGGATCCTTTTCGCCCCAAGCGTTGCATTGCCGTGCAGTGCAAGGCCTCGCGACGCTTTCCGCAGAAAGGATTTAAGGAAGCCAACTTCGAATCCTCATAACCTTTCGCGGCTCTAACCTTTATCTTCTTCACGCCACCATTACGCTTGTGCCTTGTGGACAGCTTTGTGGACTGTATTCGGCAATCATAGCACCACTACCATCCTTTCTGTAGACAACTTGACATTGTCGTTGCGATATGAGTCCTGCTGCTGCAAGGGGAACAGCGCCCCGAACGGTCCGGCCTCGACGGGTAAGAAGCGTTGGTGTTGCGGGTTCCCTGACATGGCTACCGGTACTGCTTCTAGCTCTAGGGTAAATGGGCTTAAATCTTAGGAGGGGCTGTACGGTGTTTGGCGAAAATTAAGGACTGGCGATGGCGGTAGCTGCGCCGCTATTTGTGCGCGGGCACGAGAACTGACGACTAACGTCGACTAGCTGTGCGGATGCTTATACAGAGCTCTTGCCGTAGCATCAGCTGCATATTTAGTACTTGCGCGCGTTCAGCTCACCAGCGCCGTTGCTTACACAAAAGCTTCAGCAAGCATATGGTGCATGTCCTGCAAGCTGGACTGCATACTTTACTAACCTTCCTGTGGTATTGCGGACTTTAGATCTGCAAGCAATTAGCACGTTTCTTCCCCACAATACGATGTTACCAATTCGCAACCCATCCTCTATGTTCCGCACAGCAAAGGACCGACGGCAAGCGTGGAGAAGCCGCCATGGTCGGCATGGCAGGTAAAGCGACGTAATTCATAGGTGCCATGGCACATGACATCACAAGCGGTTTGATGTACGACCTCGGGACAGCTTTTGCTTGGCCTGCCAATTTTACCCGCGTTTCACCCCTCCGCTTCGAACAGTCCAATAAGTGAGCTAATGAGCTATCCAGCTGAGGAAACCGACCCGGGAGCCCGTGAAAGGAACCTAGGCCTTCCAGTATAGCTCTAAAGTCCTTAATTAGTACATAGCCTGTTTTGATAGTGGGTACAGCTTTGTCGACTAAATGCACGACTCACACATGCTTCTTGCCATACCTCCCTAGCAATGCCACATCCCAACGACCCCAACACCTCCCAACCCACCATCTGCTGCTCCCCGCCCATGCCATAACCTGGTGCGTGTGCTTCGACGTAGACGTGGACGGCCCAGAGGTGAGCCCGGGCATCTGCATAATGTGTGTACGTAATGTACGTATGTATGTGTGTCTGCGTGTACATACATGCATTGGAGGACCTACCGGTCATCGCACCGGACAGCAAGGGGCTTATGTGCGGGGGGGAGGGAGGGGGGAAGAGAGGGAGGGAGGGGGAAGGACGCCACCCTCCCTCCCTCCGGGCGCTCTCTGACCCTCCTCCTGACGAAGGTCACCTTTTAAAAAGACTCTCAACTGCCCCTACCTCTAGCGCCCGCACGTTACCCGACTAACTGAAAACTAACTGATATTCACTACCTAACCTTAAATAAGTAGCTAACTGCCAGTCATAGACTGACAAGCAGCGGCTATAGCCATCATTCTTCCTCTGTGATCCCAACACGCGCGCTGCTAACCTTACCGGCTCTTATCGCCCCTCCGCAGGCTGAGCTCCTCGACATGGAGGTCCAGCTTGCAGCCGCAAAATGCGCCTGGCTTCGCTTCAAAGAAACCGGCTTCAGGAGCAAACGTGCGCTGCAGCTTCTGGATAATTTCTTCTGCTCTCCCGGACAGGAACTCGTCGTACAAGCCCCACGGCCACCATCACTGCATCCCTCCGTACACCAGCCGCACCAGCTGCACCAGTACTGCACCCCACCCCAAGACGGCACCATGCCGCCCGACACCTCCTCCTCCTTCTCCTCCCTAACCGCCTCCTCCTTCTCCTTCGAGGGCCACGGTGCGCTGCTGCTGCTGCCATCTGCTGCTGCTACTGCGGCCGCTAACGCACCTGCTACCGCTGTTCGTGGGGCTGTAGCTGCAGCCGTAGCTCCCGGAAACGCTCCGCGGGCCGCGGCGATTAGCCGTCACGCCTCCCTGGACCCCGCCGCCAGCGAGGCCAGCAGCAGCGGCAGCATTTCACCTCATGCATGTGCACGCGGGGGGCCGCGGCCGCAGCTTCCGCCGCCGCCGCCACCACCGCAGCAGCAGCAGCAGCAGCAGCTACAGTCGCGGCGCCATCGCGGCCGTGTTAACAGCCGCGATGACCTCCGGTCGCTGGAGGCGGACACTTTCCTGGGCGCACACGATCAGCCCTGCCTCAGCAGAACCAAGGCGCCTCATCGCGCAGCAGTAGCCGCCGCCGCCGCTGTTGCCAATCCGAGCTCTGCCCGTTCTTTTTCCGCTGCTGATCGCGTCACGCCCTCTGGAACGGACGGCCGGGACCCCGCCAGGATCCCTCGCGAGAGGCAGCGACCCGCAGACAGCAGCAGCAGTACTGGTGAATGCACACGCAGCAGGCAGCCGCTAAAGTTCAAGGAATGGGCCGCTGAGTATGCGCGCGCCGTGGCGGCCGGGCACACGGCGAGGGCCTTGAGCTCCTCGCTGCAGCCTAACGAGGTTATTGCGGCGGCAGGGGCGGCGATGGCGGCGGCAGAGGATGACGTTGGCGCCGCAATGTACGACGTGGCGGCCGCCACACCTGGTCCCCTGTTGGGCCATGCCTCTCACCTGCCTTGCTGGGGCCTAGCCCGGCGTTGGCTAGACAGCCAGCAGCAGCAGCAGCAGGCGCCGCCGTCCGCGGGTCTGAGCCCTGTCGCGGAGCCGCTGCGAACGATTCCGTACTCGCAGTGGGTGCGGGACGTGCTGTCACTGGACGATGGCTTCGGGGGCACTCCCTCGCCCTGTGCCGGTGGCGGCAGCGATGGCTCGCCCGTGCGGGTGCTGCGATTCGTACTTCCCAGCCCCGGGGAGGACCAAGAGCAGCAGCAACAACAACAACAACAGCTGTCCTCGTTATCGTTGTCGTCGCAGCCGCCATCATTCCGCCCAAGCGCTGTGTTCGACCTGCAGCCCAATGATGATGATAAGGAGGAGGCGGAGGAGGAGGAGGAGGAGGAGGCTGGGATTGTCTACGAGGCGGAGTGCTGCGACATCTACTCGCACGGCGCTGGCGGCGACAGCGATGGCGGCAGCTTTGGGACGGAGAGCTCCAATACTACTGCTGGGGGTAGGGACAGCTCCCTGCCGGTGCCGCCCATGTCGTTCTGGCAACTAGGCCAGTAACGACTAACTGTAACAACGAACAAGGGGTACAACGAGGGCCGTTGAAAGTCCCACTGAAAGTCTGTCGCTGCGTTGACAACAGCTGGGTTGGCCGGCGCGCGCGTGTCGTGTCGTGTCGTGGCCATAGCTGTGAGGCGGCAGAGACCGGCGGGCAAGCGGGCGGCGGGACTCGCACTGCAGTAGACTTCATTCAGGGAAGCGCCGCAGCTAAGACGACCAATGCCATAGCCGGTGGTGGTGGTAGTGGTGGTGGTGGTGGTGGTGGTAGTAGTGGGGTGAAGGTGGCGCCGCGAGGGTGTCTCAATCTCAGCAGAGCCGGACAGCTGCAATGCAGCCAACGGTACGACACCACGCCAGGGATATTAGTCAGGTATTTGTGTGCTGACGCGATGTGAATCGCACCCCCCAATTCTTTGCTGAACGCAAACCGTCAGGGCATCAAGGGGGACAGGATAGCTTCATCAATCACCATGCTTGGGGTGGACTTCGCCCGGCATTGAAATTGCAACTACTCTTTATTTTGTCTCATTCCACATTGCTGACCTCCAGCCCGCCTAGTGCTTATCCGGGCCGTGATTTGGACAGTACAATATGCGCTCTGTACGGAAACACGTGGGGGTTGGGGCTCTCCGGTGTCGTGGAGGGAATGTGTACGGAGGGCAGGCCCCGCACAGGGCCGTACACTAGAGGCTTAAATTATATATGTATGGTCACTGCCATCTCATGGCAGTCGTTGATTCCCGGGTGAGTGCTCTTAGTTCTAGGGGTCAGTTTAGTGTTTTTTTCCTTGTTATTGCCATTTTGCCCTTGCCATTGCGACCACGTGATGGGTCTGTTCTTAGATCCCTTAGATCGTCAGACTGTTATTGGCTATTTACCACAAGTGGTTTTCACTAGTGGCAGTGGTACATAGGCTTTTTCCTTGGTCATTGCCATGCATAATTGAAGCGCGGACCAGATTGTTCAGATGGCTATGTGGGAACTGGATCTCATCGCCGTATGTTGTTCTTTGGCGCGGTGATATGATGATGTTGACACGATGTTCACTTCGGTTGTAGTGGTGGTGTGTATGGTTGTTGGTCAGTTTGATGTGGTTGGCGAGAGGTGGTTACTGCGGCCGCAGCATCCATAGAATCGCGGACTGAACGGAACAAGACATCCACGACGGCATGGGCTTCTTTGCGGTTTGTTGACGTGCCGCGTACGACGGCATCGCTGTGGCGCGTCGTCCTTTTTAAATGTGCTCTCTGCTTGTTTTGGGGAAGTGCTTGCGTTGGTCGGCTTTTTACAAACGCTTGCTTTCCATAGTGTTTTCCTTTCAACCTGCACACAGGGTTTCCGGTCGGCCAGGAGTCCCTGCTGAGTCGGGCGGGGCGATGAAGACGAGTACGCGAATGAAAGCCACATTGGGTCGCTAGGCAGGCAGGAGACAGAGGAATTTCTTCTTGTAGTGCTCTTAAAAAGAGCCAACTTAATGCGCGCGCGATCCGCGAGAAATCACAAACCCCTGTAACAACACCCGGCAGCGTCGGCTGCACACGTGACCCCCGTTTCCAGTGGCCTCTAATCGTCTGCCCTTTTCTCTTACCTTATCAGTAATTTTCCAGTAACTGTGTTGCATTTAAAGCCAGTTGTATGAACCTAGCGCGCGTTAAAATGAATCCCCCAAAGGCCAGAACAACCAAACCACGCTGACTCGAACACCCACCAGGAGGGCAACAGGAAAGTCCCCGCAGTCATTCGGTTTCCCACGTCTCAGCAGCAGCAAACCTTCAATTAAGGGTGGTGACTCTCCGTCACCAGAAGATACGGGGTTTGGCCTTTGTTTGGGAGACGGCTGAGTACGACATGTACGGAATACAATGCCCACCGGGGAATTGAGGACAAAGAAAAAAGGTGGCAGAATTCAAAAAGCTGCGGATGGCGAAAAAACCCGACGGAGGATTACCCCCGAGTGACGTTGTACGACTTCCGTTGCCGTACCGTCGCAACGAACGAGCTTGCCATGCGCTGCAGATCGCAAAGCGCGGGGCCGGCCGCAGCGAGGGCTCTGCACGTTTGTCTTTGTGGTCACGAGTTGTCAACGCGTGCCGATGAAGATCCGCCCCGAACCTGTTGTTGTTGTTACAGGTTGGTTAAGCTTCACCAGTGGCCTCCTTCCCGAGGCAATTCCCTGCTCTCCCCTGCTAGAGGGGCACCCTAATCCATTCACCCCATCCGACTTCAGAGTGTAATCTTTGGGTTCGGCAACTCACCACCAGCATCCAACCAAATCTAGCGGATCAACGGCGCCTCAACCTAGTTCCTGGTCAGCTCGCAAGTTGATATTATCACGTCCTACACCGTCCACAAGATGGGGGCCCACCTCCCATTCCATCACCCCTCACACACCCGAGAGGTCGGCAGGAGGATTTGAACCCGGACACCCCGGGAGCAGAAGTCAGGCCTTAACCTCTGCCAGCCACCTCTGCCAGCCACCTGTTGTATTACCCTTATAGTGTTAGTCACATGTCATTTCTCTCGCAAGGTCCCCATGGCGCCAACGATTGCCGAGGCCCCCAGATGCCAGCAGCAGGAAGTCCAGAGCCAGAACACGGTAATTTGTAAAGTTATGCTGAAACGACCGTCCGAGCGGGCCCTATGCATGGCCAAATTCCGTTAATGTCAAAGCGGTTGCGATGATGGCCATGTGGGCCCTTTGGCTGACTTGCAAGGAAATCCAGATCAAGATCCAAATCCACGTAGGTACTGCACGCAACTAACTTTCCCTTTGCGGACAATTCCCTTCGCGGTGGCCAATAAGAAAAGAAAACGACGGACCCGACCCATCACCATCACCATCACCACCAGCGGCAGCAGCACGGCCAGCCATCTGCCGGTCCCGTCCCGCCTGCCGTTCCTCCACCAAACCCACCCCTCTCCCTCAAGGACGCTTCCCGGCCCTTCCATCTTCCAGCCCCGAAACCAAGACACAACGACCTCGTCAACAAAAAGGAGACAGTGGCTGTGCGCCTCTCTCCCTCTGCGAGTGAACACCGTCCCCAGCCAGCCAAGACGTTCCGGTCTTTCTTCCACTCATTCCCCCACCCCTCTTTCAAGGGCCCCCCTCCCGACCACATTCGGAACCACCTTTTTTCCCCACCGCGCCTCCACCCTTGTTTCATTCTTCTCATCCATCCATCCACCCATCTTTTCATCCGACCATCTATTCATCAGGGTCACGTGGTGTACATCAAAACGTGGTGTACCACTCGAGTGGCAGTCCGTCACCAAGGAAAGGAAAGGAAGAGCGAAAAGGAAACAAACGACGACGGAAAAGGAAATACACACGCAAACACACACTCGCTGCTCAGCTCCAACCCCGAGCTCCGCCTCGCGCACACGCGCACACACCTCGAGACTCGAGTACGTGGCCAAAGCCCCCTCACCTGACCTCACCTCACCTCACCTCACCTCCAAACCCGAACTTAGATCTTTCTTCTCCCCCTTTCGACCACTCATACCATGTTAGAGAGTTACACCCCTCTTTCCCTCTTTCTTTTCCTTCACGTCCACGCGCATGTGGCCCACCCAGCGGTGTCACGTCGCAGCTCTACCGATTCGAACACGTCCAGCCATGTTTTACGACACGTCACGACACGCCACGGCACAACCATATTTGTCATTCGTATATCTCCCGACGCCACAGCCGCGCCTAGCCGCCTGCGCGAGGCATATGAACTTCCCGACCTTTTTCAAGTCTTCCATTCGTGCCCCTTCCAAGACATCCACACGCTGCCTGCCTGCCCGCCTGCCCAGCTGTTCGACAAGGTAAAATTGCACACTTGCTGATGCCAGGAATGTTGTCGTTATCGTCATCGTCACTGCCATCGTCGTGTATCAGCCGTACACATTGGTGTGTTTTGGTGCGTAGCTGCCACCCGCGGATGCGCGCGTGACCCGCACCGTCACGAACAACATAACTTGGACACATGCATGCATGCACACATGCACGGCGGCACACAAGAGAGAGCGTCGTTAATTCTTCCTGAGACACGCACACGCACACGCACACGCACGGAGCACACAAGATAACAACCAGGGAAGAAACAGGCGCACATGTACTTGCGCGCGGATAAAGGCACACAGCACGAACACACGAACACAAGCACACATGCGCGCACATTACAAAAGCACACGACAAACAGAGAGGCTGTCAGAACACATATCAATGCGTAGCGGAGCGCAGTCAAAGGGAAGTAGTACCCTGAAGTACCCTTGGAGCCCGACTCGTAACACATACGCGAGGGGGGAGGCGTCCCCTTCACCCTCATACTGGCCAGTGCTGCGCCACCACCACCACCCGGTGTGGTCGCCGAGTGCGAAGGAGCTTCGGGGATTGGGTTGCGGGGTCGCCGACGGAGAGCTGAAGAGCTGAAGAGCTGAAGATGGGCCCCTGAAAGCTGTCCTCCGCCGTCCTCCCCCCCTCCTCCACGAGCCATAGTGCGCCAGCGCCGTGGCTTATCTTGTGCAGAGAACAATTCCTAAATCCGGCGCCTCTCCACATTCTCCATTAAAAAGGTGTTCCGGCCCCGGTGCGCAGAAAACCCCACCCTGCCATGCCATGCCCTGTGGGGTTTTTCCTTCTCCTTGCCGCCCTGACGCACTGATACGCTGCTGCAATCCTCGAAACGATGGACTTCCAAAGCTCCCTCATCGCCCCTGCGGGTCCTGTTCCCCCGCGAGGTGCGCACACACTCACACTCACAGTCACACTCACACTCACACTCACATCCGCACAGCCGCCCTGCTGCCCGCTGCTCCGCTGGTGCCGCCCAGCCGCCTCAACACCGCCGCTGCACCGGCATGCATGTCCCGTAGGGCTTCAGGTCGATAACCGCCACCAGTACCAGTGCCAGTGCCACCACCAGCACCACCACCAGTACCACCCGTATTCCACCACGGTCCGGGTCCCAGTGTTCCAGAACCGACTGATCCCGGCTCTAGCTGCCAATGAACTACCGGCCCCCGACGCCATGCTCCTCCTCTGCCACCGCCGCAGCCGCCGCCACCAGCGGCGGGAAGTCCGTCAGCGCTGCCCGTACACCGCAGCTTATCCAGTTCGTCGTACAACGGTGTTAGCGGGGTCGCCATCGGCGGCGGCGGAGGCCGCGGCGATCTGGGCGATCGCGGCGTCAACGGCGGCAGGTCTTGGGAACGGTACGACCGAGCGGTCAAACTCCCGGGCGGGGACACGTCACCGCCGCCCCCGCCGCGGTGCGAGTGCGAATGTGTCATCATCGCGACTTCGGGAAGCCGATCTAGATTTGCACCGGTTGGGCCATCGGCGCTGCCGTACGCCTCCACAAAGGCTTCGTAATCCACGCCCGTACTGAAGTCCGGGTCAGCGTCCTGGTAGATCTGGGGCCATATCACGGGGCGCCGGTGGGGAGGGGATCCGTCATCAGGGGGAAGGTGGAAGAGGAACCACGAACGAGAGAAGCTGGTGCCAAGGATAGACTGAAAAACGCCAGAAGTAAGGAAGCGTTAACTAACTAATCGCGGCTTGTGAAGGAGGAGTCCTCGTGGAGGGGAAGAGGGGGAGATGAAGAAAAATGGTTTTTTAAAGGAAAGAAAACAAACTTGGAGCAACGAGCATTATGGTGCAGGTCTGTAGCGACATGCTGACTGCAGCACGTCCTTACGTCAGCAGGCAGTGGCGGCCAGAGAGGAGATATATAAAAGAAAGCGCGCGGCGGGTGGAAGTGGTGACAAAGCGCAAAGGGGGTGCAATAACTCGGGGGGTGAGGGAGTGCTTCGGGTTTGGGTGACACGATAATATTCACATGGGGGAGGGGGGGAATTGAAAGGATTGACAAACTGGCCCAAGTGATATCCGAGCAGCCAACCAACCAACCAACCAACTAACCGACAAGGATAGCTGGAAGGCCGGCTACCTACCACCACCACTGCTGCTGTTGCTGCTAGCCGTAGCAGGAGAGAGCGGGCCGTACCGCAGGGCAGCTGATGACAGGCGGCCAACATAAAGCAGCAGTTGCGGGGGTCGCGGGGGAGCAGGCAGCGGGCAAAGCACATCCGCAACACACCGTAACAGCAGCAGCAGCAGCAGCAGCAGCAGCGGCGCGGCAGGAGTGGGCCGGCATGGGTTCGGCCATACACTTTCACGTACACACACACAAACAAACACATGCACACTCTTTTTCCGTCACCACCAACCCCACACCGTTAGTCGCGCCTTCGCAGCTCGCGCCGGTGACCGGTGTCCCCGGGCCGAGAACCTCCCCCCCCTCCCCTGCAGCGGTGGCGGCGGTGGCGGCGGTGCCAGCTCAGGGGCTGCTTCTCGGCCTCCTCAGAACACGGAACAGCCCTGGGAGCCCATAAGGCCCGAGAAATATAACGGTCTGCCACGTCTGCAATACGATGCAGTACGGCATGGCCGCTAACCCCTCTCAGCCCTAAAGCGAACTGGCGACAGAAAGAACAAAAAGCGGCTGACTGACTGGAGGGCGGCTGCCGCTGTAGCTGCTGAGCAGCAGAGCCAGCTCACCCCCTCAGAGCCCGCGGCGCCCCGCAAGCACCGGGAAATCCCAGCACCTGACGTCCAGTACCCCGACCCGACCCGACCCTACCCGACCCGATCTAGAACCTTCCGGCAACCTGGCATATGAAACAGGAAGCAACCCGCCCCGCCCCCCCCGCCCCAATATGCACCACCGGGTGGTTCTTCCGACAGTTCTCCTTCATAGCAGCAGGTCCCCGGGGTGGGGTGGGGTGGGGTGGGGTGGGAAAGACGTGGGTGGGAAAGAATGTACCAGACGTATAGGACTGGGGTGGGGTGGGGGGAGTGACGAGGCCAGGTTGCGTCTTGGAGGTTCAACCAGTATCGGATTGCTCTGTCATTCCACGTCACACACACACACATATATACACACACGTGAACAGGTTACCTGTTACTAACACCAAGTGAGACACACAAGCACAAGCACAAGCACATAACACACACACACACACACGAACGCATCCCACATGTACATGCGCGTCATTCCATCGGGGTCTGTCCCCAAAAGATATTTTTCAGCCCTTCCTTTTCTTCTCCTCGGGGGAGAGAGACACGGTCAGACGGACACGCATGGATGTTTGTATGTATGCATGTACGTACGCAACGGCCGCAACGCAAAGCATGCGACTTACGACCGGCCGCGTGGCCGGTGGGAGTTCAGCAGCATGGACTTGGACAGATCGCAGCGGAGGCCGAGGGGGCGGCGGAGGAGGAGGCGGCAGCGGCGGCGGCGGCGGCGGCGAAGGTGACAGCGGTCGACGCGGCGACACCAGCGCAACTCTCTTCCGCTTGGACCTCTCTTGGACCCCTCCCTCCCTCCCCTCCCCTCCCCTCCCCTCCCCTCCCGTCCCCTCCCTCTCCGCCCAGCGGCCGCATAGGGCCCACCTTGAGCAGCTGCTGGTCGCTGAGCTGCAGCCGGTTCTGCTCCCCCACCCGCCTGAGCGCTTCCCGGAACTCCGCCCACTCCACAACTCCATCGCCGTTGTGATCTACTTGGCGGAAAGCCAAACGAAGCTCACCAAGGCGACCGATACGGCCGCCGCCGCCGGCGGTGCCTGCCGCGGCGGCGGCTCCGCCGCCACCCGACGAACAGTTGTCGCCGTTGTTGTTGTTTCCGTAGGCGAGGCTGTACGGCGGCAACCTGATGCGCGCGCCGTACAATCGTACCGTTTTGTTGTGTGCAAGGGCCCCCATGGCAGAGCAAAAGTGATCTCGCGTTGTAGTTTTCTAATCGGCACACGCGGCAAGATTTGAGCCTGAGGGGTCTCGTCCCCCCCAGGCAATGTGTGTGTTTGGGGTGGGAGGAGGGGGGGAGAAGAGATCGTGCTGCTGCCCTAAGCCTTTGGCACCATCCTCTGGCACCATTCCCTTCACCCATCACCCGCAAATACCAGTGCTACAATTCCCTGGGTGGTGTACATGAGGAAATCAGTTGGGTACTGTGCCGCGTGTCGCCGCCGCGCCGTCCCGCGGGCCGCCGCCGCCGCCGCCAACACTGCCCGCCGCAGTCCCACTGTTCGATTCGCGCCCGCAGGCCCACACAGCTCACCCCACAAACCCCACCAGCTGACTGACGCACATGCAGACAAACACAGAACCCGCCAGACAGACACACAGTCACCCTACCTACCGGCACAAACGCACGTGATGCTTATTAGAATTGGACGGATATGCCAGGTACGAACGGAACACACGACAACCCTCCTCCGCCCATTCTTCTCCGAAACCCTCCTCCCTCCCTCCCTCCCTACCCGCACACCGCGCCGGGCCGCGGTCCCCACCCCACCCCTCTCATTCATCCTCAACGTGCGGTGCCGTATCCGCCACGTGTACGGCCCTTCGTGGCGGCATCCCCGACCATCTTCCGTGGCTTCAGCAATTGAATGTACGGATGTACGAGTGGATGTTTGAAGGTGGTTCCTTGCCGCGGGTTGTGGCCAGCGGCTCATTGCCAGTGCCGTACCCGTATCCGTGACCTAGCGGGTCACCACCCCCAGATATATATCTCCTATCATAGTCCGTACCGCCATCACATCGTGCAGCACCGAGGACCCGCTACCTTAGCTACATATGTCTATATACACACACACAGACAGACAGACAGACAGACAGACACACACGGTGCCGCACACACGGAGGAGGGCCGCACGTTCCCTCCTGCCATGTACCTGGTACCCACGTGGGCTCTCTGGAACCTCCTTTCCAGGTGCTGGCTGCTGCTGCTTCGAACACGTGTGTATGTGCATATATGCCCAGACACGCACAAAACACATACATACATACATACATACATACATACATACATACATACATACATACATACATACATACATACATACATACATACATACATACATACATACATACATACATACATACATACATACATACATACATACATACATACATACATACATACATACATACATACATACATACATACATACATACATACATACATACATACATACATACATACATACATACATACATACATACATACATACATACGCACACAGGAACTCTTTCTCGTGGCTCTGCTCATAAATACACACACACGGAGATGGGCCCAGCCACCACTCACCCTCCCGCAGTTTTGGGCGGCCCGATTGGTTGATCTGGGTCCGCCAGCTGCCGGTGGCGACACGGGCGCTTGTGGCCACGCCACGGCAGCGTCCCGAAGCGAAGCGCATTGACGAAATCGCCGTACGGCACGTGCAGCGGCCGCCACCCAGTGGCGCCGCCGTCTACGGCTGCAAGCATGAGATCCACAACCTAGCATGCCGTACCATGCCGTACCATGCCGGACCGTGCAACGTATGTGCGTCCAGTTGACATGCCGACGTGTGTGTATTTATATGTTTTGTGTGACGCGCACAGCAGAGGAGAACACGCCCCCGGGGAGCGTGAGGCGGAGGGGAAAAGAAAGGGGAGGGGGAAAAGGGAGGGGTCGGAAAAAATGGGCGGCGGCGGGGGCGGGGAAAAGCGGTGCCGAGGGAGGAGTACGTGGGGTTGGTGGGAAACTATACATGTAACAGAGCGGTATCAACAACGGGGGGGAGTGAGAGGCCAATGCCGACTGACGACCAAGGTTGAGCCACCCCCTAGCTGCCGTCATGCGACCCCGGCTGCTGTAGGCTACATACATCCTTCATATCTAGGCTAAGGCACACAGACACGCACACACACGCACGCACGCACACACACGCACACACACGCACACACACGCACACACACACACACACGCACATACACGCACACACACGCACACACACGCACACACACGCACACACACACGCACACACGCGCTCTCAGGCCGCCACCCACCTTGTCGTCCACCAGCCCCGCGGGCCCCAGGTTCATGGCCTGCAGCGCCGCCGCGAAGTCCTTGCGGCTCAACATGCCACTGCCGTCCCTATCCAGGTCGCGGAACACGGAGGCCACACGACCCGCACCTCGCGCGTACACGCGCTCACGTAGCGCCGCCAGGAGCTACGTCGGGGGCGGGGGGGGTGATTAGTCGGCGGCATTCTACGTAGGGAAACCCTAAGACGCAACTGCGGAGCTGGACGGGCTGAGGAGGGGTGGATGTGGGTACGTACGGCTGTGAATAGAGGGCCCGTGTGATGTGCGTTCGGTTGGTTTGCTGGGGAGAGGGCCAGGGGGGGATGTGGAATGTGACATCCAAAGCAAGGGGAGGGGTTCGCAGGAGTATGAGGCTCGGGGCCCTAACCACCCTTTTCCTTCCGATTTCTACCTCCTCCGCGTCCCCTTTGCTCCGCTCCCCCACCTTCATCTGGCCCCCTGACCCCCACCCGCCCTACCTTGTTATATCTGCCGTCCACCTCCTCCGATTCCAGGTCGGGAGAGGGAAGGGACTCAGAGCGACGAAGCGGCCCCGGCGCCGGCCACTCCGACTGTCCCGGGCCCCCCGCCGTACCGCCGGCGCCCCCACTGCCGCGCCGCTGCCGGTGTACTGCAGCTCCTGCGCCGCCGCCGTGCGGCAACGTTGCTCCGGAACCACCGCCGCCGCCGCCACCACCCTGGTCGTTGAACCAAATTTCCCTACAGGCACCTGCCGCGGCCGCTTGCGGGGTTACCGTCGCTGCTCCGAAACCACCGCTTGGCAAATACTCGCCGTCGGGCCCTATGGTAAGCACCGGTAGGCGTGACAGGTTTGCGGGGTAGAACAGAGGGCCGTTTCCTCCTCCACCTCCGCCAGCCGCCGCCGCCGTTGCGCCGTCAGCGCTGCTGCGGCGCGCCGGAAAGGCTGCGCTCCCTGCCCCGGCGCTGCTACCGCTGCTGCGGCGTTGGCGGTGGGAAAGATACGACGCGGCGCTGGTGTTGCCGCCTCCGCCGGCGGCGGCGGCGGATTGCAGCAACGCACGGCTGTCTGTCAGCCTGGTCGTGTGCAGACGCAGCCCCCCCAACACGAGGGTCAGCGGGAAAGGGTGAGGGGGAAATATGAGTACAGCGAGACAGAGGGAAAGCATGGACGAAATTTTCGAAAGGAGGGGTGATATAGACGATATGACTAGGTCACTTTCGCTCGCTGCGTGTACAGGGGTCATGGTCACTTTCGCTCGCTGCGTGTACAGGGGTCATGACTTACTGGTGGGTGATGGGGCTTGAGGTTGTTGGCCGCTGCGAAGCTGCTGACCCCGGAGGCGGCGGCGGCGGCATAGAGCTCTCCATCAGGTGGATCAACGGGTTGTAGCCGGGGAATCTCGGGACATTCACACCTCGACGGCCGCCGGCGCTACTGCCGCCAGCACCAGACCGCGCAGCGGCTGGATTGTTCTGCGGCTGCTGTTGCTGCTGCTGCTGGTGTCGTTGTTGTTGGTGGGCGGACGTTGCGGCAGCAGCAGCAGCCGCGGCGGAACCGCCACCGCCACCGCCGCCGGTGACGGTGCCGGCGGCAGCCTCTGCCGCTGCTGCGGCGGCGGCGGCGATTGGGTCCACGGCACGTGGCAGCGCCCCGACGCTGCCGCTTCGCGTCTCAGGCAACTTTGTAGGGAGGTTGAGGGATGCTCTGCGGTTGCTGCCGCCGTGGGGCCCGCCGCCGGAGTTAGAACTCGTCAGCGGCCGGATCAAGCACGCTGACGCCGCCAGGTCGGCGGCGGCCTGCGCAAGGTTTTCGTACGACGCGGCGACGGAGCGGTCTGACATGGAGCCTCTCGCCAGCTTGCTGGCGGCGGAGGCGAGGTACGCGGCCGCGGACGCCAGCTCGCCGTACACTGCCGTCGACGGCGGCGCCGACGGCAGTGGCGGACCGCCGCCGCCTCCTCCCCCTGCGGCAGGCTGTCCGTCGGCTGCGGAGGCGCGGGGGCTTGGCAGTGACGCGACGACTTGGGGAACGAGGTTCGGAGCCGAGCGGCGAATCAATGGCCGACTGGATGGCCGATCTTGGGGGCTGCTATTATTGTTACTGTTACTGTTACCGTTGCTGGGAAGGGGTCGACCTTGAGTAGCTCGTAAGGTGCTGGGTCGCGGCGTCGCGGCCGAGGCAGCTGGGGCAGCGGCTGCAGCCGACGCCGCGGCCACTGCAGCCGATGTCGACACCGGCGCCTGCGGTAGCGCATGCGTGAGGTCCGCAGGTTCGGATGCCTACAAGGGGTAAGGAAAGGGGATGACGGGTTAAGCGTGTGCGGGAAGTCCACCGAATGTGTGCGTGCGTGCGTGCAGCGTGGGTGGGTTGCGCTGCTCGTATGGACGGGAGGGGATTGCAGCCTGGGTTCGAGCAAGGCCCTACGAGAATGCAACCCAGCCTCAGTGCTCCGGTGTGGGCAGCGGATCTGGGTCCAGCATTCAGATCCGTCATGGAAAAACGGATCTGAAAACTGCACTTCAGTGCCCAGACACGCAACGCGCCTCGCCGCGGCGTGTGTACCTGACCGCATCTGCATAGCTAGCACATCTCCAGCACAAATTGCGTGCAAGTACGGGTAATGGCTAGCGCTTGCACACATGGTTAAGCAGCCCCTTGTTTGTGCTTTCATAATCCAAGCTAACCTAGGCTCGTACGGTGATTGGGAACCATGCCGCCCATACCTACCGCGGGGTTAAAAGGACTCCGTAATTCAGGGGCTGCGTTGGACTCAGAGGCAGCCTGCTGTCGCCTGTGAGTGAAAGATGCCGGGAAGCACATGCCGCGGTGGAATCACTCAAAACTCTTTCCAAACGGTATGCATCAATATGACAGCATGAGTAATAATAGTCTCACCGCTGCAGAAAAATCTCGAAGGCTGTGGGAGGCCGCAAGGCTGACATGCTTGCGCGTTCGACAAACGTCGACCAAATCAGTTACAGGAAGTTCCGCCGTGAGTACATATGCGATATAAATTTAACATGCAGTATTGTGGGTCGTCGCCCATTCTTCGTTCTCCAGAGTCCTCTGAAAGGGTCGATGGCACTTTCAACTTGCAGTTATGCTTGAATGCACTACAGAAGATGGCAGTTGCATGTGTAAGGAATCGTAGGCCAACTCTTTGGAATTTGCAGCGCAGTTACTGCCGTCGCTGTTGCCGTATTTCGTCCGTTGGGCAGGGCGGTGCTGGTGACAGCCTGATTCTCTTAATTATCAGGCAACATAGAACAACGATAGATAGTCACATGTTCTCGAAGCGTTCCACCTGGCATCACCTGTGACGCCGCTGGCGTTCGCTGACGCCGTCGATGAGGGACGACGCGGACTAGCAGGTCTCCTAAGCTGACCAGGTCTTCCCTGCTGGCTGGTCCTCGCTAGCCTACCTCTTGGGGCACCCCATGGTCCCCGCAAACATGCGTTGGGCTGCACCCTCAGCCAGGGATGTTGTGCGGAAGACTCTATGTTCAACGTGAACTCTAGAAGACACTCTAAGCAGTAGGGTAGCGCTAGGCTAAGAGACGCCACCTATTGTCCCTAACTACAAAGATCCGACAAGGAAAGCTGCATGCTATCTGCGTGGCGATGCGTTGGCTGCAGGGAACGGCGGTACGGAATTCCCCCTAGGGGGTAGGACCCCAACAGCGATACACACGCCCTCATTCTCCAAGGAAACCAAGGGAAACTGTGGAGTTGCTGGTTGTAACGCGAGCCTCCGTGCAGGAACGTCCACACGGAATATCCCCGTACGGGGGCAGGATGTGTTTTCGTATAACTTGTGGGTAGCTTCGTACGCTGCATACGTCATAGGCGTTATCTTGCGTAGTGCAAGCACATTCAGGGTGAGGTCAGGAAATCAGCCGTTAAAGGGATACCCGCCATCGTCAGAAGAATTCAGTTTGCTTTGCCAGATGTTGTTCTGTGTGGTTTGAGCGGGTGGTACATGAACGGATGTCGAGTCCAAGCGCTAACTCTCCAGGCAGCTCACACGTGCACATGCACCATTTTTCCGGTTGGCGCACCGGCTTCTATCCGCAGTAGTGGATGAGCCATGTGTGTAGGGGGGAGTAATTATTGGGTTGCCATTGGTAGGGCAAAGGCGCAGGGCCAGCGAAAGGGCTGCGCAAGGACGTGTGAACAACCTCAGCGCATGACTGCAACCTGATGCGCAAACCTCATCACACCTTTCGAAGCAAAGGTGAACCCTTGTGTATTGCCATCCAAGAACGATCCACTTTCTTGTCAGGAGTCGACGTATCTCAGCGCATGTCGTGCAGGCAACACGAGGTGATGCAGTGGGTAGCGTGCCGCGCAGGACACACGTGCATTGCCTGTAGGCATTGACCTGACGAAATGACATGAAGTTGTGTTCTTCGCTGTGGGCAGAACAAAGGGGTTCGGCTGGGTCAATAGTATTGCGATGCACGCAAGTTATGTTCTTGTAATAGTATAAGCAAATCACAAAAGGTCTATATTGTATCTTTTGTTGGTAGGAAGTGTGCCGAGTAGACCGTTGCCATGCAGATGGCGGAATCCGCAAAAACTTCTGGTTCCATAATTTAAAGTTCGGTTGTGACCAATCATTTTGCAGCCGTCATCTGTATTGCCACATACTGCTTTTCCAAAGTTTTTGCTTTTTATACCTGTTATGTGTTATCCTGGACAAGGCGACCTTGGTCCCTTGCGACTTCCCCTGACGGTCTTCGCCGCATGGAGTGCCTAGGTTGATCCACTTTAGCCTAAACATTAGTGAATCATGAAGACGGATCGCCGGAGTGTGGTTCTTGTGTCCTCTGTGGCTCCGCCTGTGGGTGCTACTCGAGGGCATCGCAGTCTCGGGGACGGGGAGAACCTGGCCCTTGGAATAGTTGGGAGGCGCTCTGGCTCTATTCAGGATCGCACAAACATCAACACCAGAGGGTGGAATAACTCGACAAGGGTAAGCTCCTGGCATCTTATTGTTAAATTTGGAAGTCCCTGTCTTATTTGAAGTACCTGCTATCCTAACTACAAGACCTTTGGCACATGCAGGCTTCACCCTTATGGAAGCGTAAAACTCAGGAAAACAAGGAGAATGGCAAATTGCCGATATCGAAAAAGTTTCAGCATGTCCAGAGCAAGCTTGCAGCGCCCGTCTTCACTCAGCGTCGCCTCAAGCAAGTGGAGGTTGCGGAGAAACCAGGTAAGCTTTAGTGCTTGCTTAACGCTGGTAAGAAAACGTTAATTCACTTCGTTGGGTGCTTAACCCGCCTTTCCCTGTACAGGGGCCGCTTCAACCGGAGGTCCCTTGCAGGCCGCAGCCGACGTCCTCAACGTGGCAGCTCCCTCGGCACGAGCTGTCCCTTCAGAGAACACGTGTGCCAATGGTCCCCTAACGTCAGTTCCTTTCGACTTTTTCGTGACGAGGCGTTCCCGCGGACTGCAGCAGCAACCAGAGGAGGACTTTTTCACGGACCACGAGCAACTTAGCTCTAACTTCGCAGCCCTGGGACCGAACGTACGGAGCATGGGCGATGGTCCTGACCAACAGCAGGTAATTAGTAATCACGGTAACCATTTGTGCAGGTGTGCGTCCTTGTCTTCTCCACCCGCAACACAATCTGCAGACCTTATGCATACAGGCCGCGCCGTTAACCAGCCCCTTGCCAGAGAGCTTGCTGCAAGGCTACGCTGCCACTTTGTCGCCGCAAGCCCACGGCGAACCGAATGGTGACAATGGCCCTATGCAGCAGGTAAGGCTAGTGTCGCTAATCCGTCTATTCTGTCTAAACTGACATCTCGTTAATCCAAACAGGCTCGACGCATGGGTGACGCAATAGCGAGACGACGCCACAGGCGCAGACGACCCACCAGCAAGCCCATGTACTGCTCCCGCTCTTCGGTTTTCTTCTGTGCAAGGTTTCCTTCTGCAGGAGAAAACCGAAGAGGGGGCCCAGCAGATGGGCTTGCTGGTGGGTCGCCTGCGCCTGCGCCGTCGCCTCGCTACTGCATCACCCGTGCGTAGTGCCTGTTTGAGATAACGAGGTACCAAATTGAGGTGATCAGAGGTAGCAACCGAGACCTGCCATATACTTCAATGGTTGCCGGGCAGCTACTTGAGCTTTAGCCCATTGTGCTAATGCGCGCTTTTAGTCGTCACGTCGTCCATTGCTTTCACCCGCAGCCCGTGGCAAACAAGGACCTCGAGGGCGACAAGGATGCGGCGATTGCGCCATGCAAACCAGAGCTCACAACGGGAATTGGAGAGTTTGATACCTTCGAGCTCAGCGTGTCCATTGCGTCCGCTGGTGTCACAGCTGCAGCCCAAGCCGACAGTCCTACGGGGAGCGCGGCCAGCGTGGCTTTTTGGGGCAGGGTGTCAGACAAGGACTCGGAACACAGCCGCGAAAGCCCTGTAGCAGCACCGCTTCTTGCAGGCGGCGTTGAGGCAGAGCACCTGGACGAATCATCCCCTAGTGCCAAGAGCACAGAGCACGCGGCTGATGGCTCGTCCAGTGCCCCTAGTGTGCCGCCTAGCCCTATTGAGGTTATCTCACCTGCAGCGGCCTCACCTGAAGGTGCTATGCTATCCCCTGGGGGTAGGTTCAGTCCCCAGGCAGCGGCTGCAGGACCGACGGCACCGTATTCACACCAGCAATCAGCTGGCCTAAGCTTTGCATCCCGGCCAGCGCAGCCTGTCGCGTATGCAAAATGGGCAACTCTTGCCGGGAAGGTGGAACAAACTCCTGGCGGATTATCGGATTGTCATGGTCCCACAAATATGTACGCCGATTCACCGCAGCAGTCGGCCGGCCTCAGCGTGGTCTCGACCTTGCAGCGGGCGGTGGCTTTCGATGTTTGGGCATCTGTCCAGCGTGCGCGTGCAGCTCAGTCGGCAGCTGGCGACATGCACAGCCCCCCTGGGCCCTATGCACCGTCACCATTGTCCTCTGTGGGACCCGACACGGTGGTCAAGCCTGGTCCGGCAGGTTCCTGGATCCACAGCCCAGCAAGCACGCCGGTAAATAGGGCTGAGAGTAGCACCGACGACAGATCACCTGCAGCACACATCCGGTGCAACCCGTTGTTTGAGATTGATTCGCCTGCTTCCAGCATATCGGCCTTGCCGGAACGGGCAGACGCGCTCGGCGGCCTGGCACCGACACCTTCCCCTTCGCCAGCACGCATGCTGTCGGCACCGAGCCTGGCATCGACGCCGATGTCCGCGTTCAGTCAGGTGCATCGCAGCAGCCTTACAAGCCCCATGGGGGAATGCAGCCCAGGACACTTCGACGCCAGCGTGTTCGATGCAGTTGGCACGCCAACCTCTGCTCTGGCCATGCCGGGCCCTGAGCTGCAGACGTCTACTGAGACTGCCTTCCCCACGAACACGGGTAATGTTGGAGCAACGGCCCAGCCTTCATGTCCAGAGGAGCCGTCAAGGGATCTGGAGGCCAAATGTCCTGATATTTCACAGTCTCCGATGCAGGGTGAGGCGAGCTGCTTTGGGCCGACGGTTAACAACATCGACAGAGGAGAAAACCGCTCGCCATCACCAAGCGAATCTGCACCCCGCTCTCCCTCATGCACTACACCTAAACTTGAGGATCCTGCAGTCGTGCTGGAGGAGGTTCGCCCTAGGGCGACCTCTTCTGCCAGCCCGAAGGAGATGTCAAGCCCAGCCGCTGACAGTGTGATAACCACCAAATTTGCAGCTAGCCCTGTCGAGGAATGCAATTCCCATGGGAGCACGGGCGCAGAGGTTCCACCCGCGATGCAAACGACCCATGGTGGTCTGGCTGATACGGACACGGAGGACTTGAATCCTGAGCAGGTAGGGCCGTCCGATGGTGTTCACTTTTCATATGCAGACATGTGATCCGCTGCTGTAAAGTTGGTTACAGCAAAGCAGGAATGTCTCGCGGTGTAAGGGGCACGGCAGAGGTACGTGTATGTCATCAAGGGGAATATAGGTACCAACAGCAGTTAAATCCTAACGCCATTATCCCTCAACCCCTTGTCAATTTCCTGTCTGCCCACTCCAACAGGATGGTGTTCCGAACGTTTCACATGTCGCGCGTGTTGAGGTGCATTCCTTGGTGGCGTCATGGGATCAAGGCTCTCCGGGAGCTGGCGATGCTGTTCAGGAGCCGTCACCGGGTAGCGACAGCGCAGTTAAGGTAGAAAGCCTGAGGGCAGCACTCTTGGCAGGCGAATGTGCACCTCACAGCTATCCTGATACACCGTCCACTGTGTGTCCACAGTCGCCATCAACGTCCGTGTATGCAACGCCGCTTGGCGAGTTCCCAACACCCACAACGCTTGCATCACTCTGCAGTGCAATTTGTCTGACTGGCATGCAAACGGGTGCTGGCGTGTACACGCCGAGCGGTCAGGGACATCTTGCGGGCGCTGCAGTTTCTTCGGATTTCACATTCGGCTTTAGAAACATGCAGCTTGTTGGCAGCGACCCGCGCTTGGAGGCTCCAACGCCAGTGCTGGGTCCCGGTGTGCCAGCACCGACAGATGGGGCCTCTGCATCACACGTGGCACCGGCACTTGGATTAGGACTGCAGTTCGGCACGGGCTTTGGCTCGCCCCTGCCATTGACACAGCTTACGCCCATGCAGATGCGGGCCTTGGACCAGATGGCAGGCCGCGTGATCGCTGCTTTGAGCCCCGCCCGAAAGCCGGTTTCTCCACGCGGTCAAAGTTCTGTTCTTGGGCATGTGGACGCTGTGCAAGAACCCTCAGCGTCGGACGCCGAGCCTCTCCTTGGGCGCACAGCTGTTTCCGCAGCCTTTAACTTGGCTCAGCTGCTGGCAAACCTGCGGTCGCCACTTCCTGCGCCGGTGCACCAAAGAAGTCGGTTTGCGCCAGACCAAGAACGCACGGACACTGCATCTGCGGGGGTTGTGGAGAGCTCAGCAGGCTGGGCAGAGGATGTTCCGGCAAGCATCTCGCCAAGTGATACACATACTACGGTCGGGCCTGCCAGTAACGGCGATGCCGCCCCGGTCCCTGTTGCGTCACCCATGCCTAACTTCGCCCGCCTTATGGCGTTCCTAAACGGGTGCGGCCGTGCCGCCACCGCTCCAGCGGGTGGTACAGACCTGTCGAGCCGCCAGGCGCAATCGGATGAAGCGGAGATTCCGCCAGGCGCTTGCGATTCGAGGGCGGCAGCAGTTGACTTGGGACAGCTGCTCGCGCACCTGCACTCTCCACTGCCCAACCAATCGGAGGCGCCATCGGGGGACTCTGGCATCGGTTCTGGCTGTGTCGACAGCCCCATCACGGCGCACGGCGGCCACGATTCGCCTGCAACATCCGAGGCAGCCAGCTTTGGTTTCAGTACCGCCGCAAAGCAAATGGCTTCCCGCATTACGCCGTCAACGACGCCGGGAGGAGGCGGCATCAGTTTCGTCCGTTGGGCTCAGGAGACCGGGCCACCATCGTTCCGCCTTGACAGTGATGCGCCTCACGTCCGGGGGAGACTCGCCCGCACGCCTCCGACACCCATGAGCTTTAGCTTCGGCGTGCCCTTTGGGATGGCACCACCCAACGATGAAATCACGCCGGCCGTTGGCAACGGTCGTTTGGCCCACTTGCGTTCGTCGCTTGCAACGGTGGATGCGGGACGGCCGCTCTACAGTACGTCAGCGTCGCCTGCAAGGAGCCGTGCGTCCTTCAGCTTCAATGCAACTCCTGCGAACGGGAGGGTGCCCAACGGCAGCGCTACCGGTTCACCTGCCTTTTCGTTCGGCGCGCAGATGGGAGCACCAAATGCATGTGTCGCCACGCCGACGGCGCCTTTCGGGCCCAATGCGGCTCAGGACACGTTTAGGCCCACAGAAGTTGATGCAGCAGAGAGCGCCGTGCGGGGCAATGTACGGAATCACGTCGGCAACATGATATGCCAGAACAGGGACAGTCCAGCTATATCTCTCGGCATTTGGCGGCCTATTCCTTTTGGTGGAGAGCCGCTCGTTGGCCCTGAGCACTCGAGCCAGACGCCCTCACAACGAGGCTTTACTTTTGACAATGTCGCTTCATCCCTGATGGCCACACCCATGTGGCCCGGTCTGGGTGCTGCTGCAACGATCAAATTGGCAACGGATAGGCCCGATGCGGACTTCATTCGGGACATGGGCATCGCATTAGAGCAGTTGGCGGTGGCTGCGTCGCCGACCCTGTTCAACATGACCGCCCAGGGAAGTCCCCAGCAGTCGCCGGGGATCAGCTCAAGTTGTGAAACCATTCATGCAGACAGAGGGTCTGCAACCGACGGGCTTGGCGCGTCTGGGGCGAGCTTGCAGGACGATGTCTACACACCGGCGGCTGCCTTCCTCTGGACAACCCTCTTGGGCAACCTGTGCTCACCCATGCCTGCGGGCGTGCATGCCCGTTCTTACCATGGCCAGCAAACAAAGCAGCAGGCTCCACCCGCTGCCGATGCTCCGTCCTCCCTTGGCACATTACCAGCAGGGGCCTTGGTGGATGCATTGTCATCAACATCAATCGGGTCTGTGCCCGACTCTCTGGGTCCGGCCGACCCACTCTTGGCCAACGAGGTGACGGGTTTTGTAACCCCGCCGCCGTACGAGGACCTCCCAGACCTGATCGCCCGCGGACTGTGTCTTTCCGCCCCGGCTCCCGCCCAACCATTGGAAGACGTTTTCGTGCCAGGCCTCGCGCCCGACACATGCAGTGTCATCGGTGAGAACCCCACCCCGCTGGTGTGCCGAGCATCATGTGAGCACCTTCCTGCAAACTTGCTGCCTGCCGCTTCGGACGTTCCACTGGAAGAAGTTGGTGTGCTGGGCCAGCTTTTCCAGCCAGTGGATGAGCTGCAAGCAGCTACAGCGGGAGCAGCTTCTGTGGACAGCCCAGATGCGTTTGTGCAGTCGCCTTCCGGGCAGCTAATCATCGAATCCAGTAGCGACAGCAACAGGAACAGTGCGGGGACATTGTACGCCGCAAATATGACAGCAAGCGATCTTACAGCGTTGGACGTTGCAGGCCCACAGGAGAGCGCTTGCGGTGGCGCCCCAGACATCCGCGAAGACTCAGTTCGCAGCTCGCCGGTGTTCAGCTTCCATGTGGCGTCTGAGGGCTCCGTGAGAAGCGTGGGCTCCACGGTCCCTGTAGCAGCGGCAGTGCCCAGCACCGATATGGAGAACCCTGTGCTCGACGATGCCTTGAACGATAGCAGCTATGGCATCAGGCAGCCCCAGGAGGACGGTGAATACCGCCAGTGCGACACACCAGCCGAAAGCACTCCGCAGCCTAAGGGCATTACGTTCTCCGTGGATGCAGTGCCTCGTCTCCTTTTCGATGCCAGCGTTGACAGTAAGGCAGCGGCAGCCGAGCACCGTGAGCGAATGGGTGCATGTAGCCCGGTTGGGGCGCCCAGGCCTAGCCACGAGGCCGGCGGTAGCGGCGCTGTAATGGCACTGTTACCCATGATGTCATCGCCGGCTTCTTCCAAGCGGCGACATACGAGCGAGAGCGTGGCATCCCCACTGACGTTTTCATATCTGGGTTCCAGCACGCCGCCTCGGACGCCGCCTACGGCGGAGCTCGCCAGCACAGGCAAGGCTACCGCGCTGCTTGGCCATCCGCGAGTCTCGCCCCGATCTACCGGGGGCGGCAGCCATTTTTGGGCGCCGAGTCCTTCTGGACCGTCTGTGGCCTCAGGTGACCGAGTCACGCTGGAGGCCTGCAATCGACGCATCCGCGCTAATGCCGACCTGCTCCTTGATTTTCAGGTTTGTCACATAGAAATGTTTGCCGAAGATGTGGGGTCTGCCTGGTTGCCTAAGGGGATAGCCGGTCGTTGACCCATAGTGTTAGCACAGAGAATATGCAGATGGGAACTTCTTGATGATTGCGTGTTCCCATGACGTATCTGATGAAAAGCTTGCGCTGTAACTTGTTCCTCGTTGCCCACGCGAACATCTCGGCAGGGTTCGCCAGGACACATCGCACCCACGGTGCCTGTAGCCTCTGTCACCGGCACCATTACGCCTCGCTTGAAGGCCGCCGGCCTGTCCGCTGCTTGGCAAGGCACCCACGCGCAAGTGGGTCATACCCAGAAGAACTGGGAAGAGCCGCATGGTACCTGCAGTCATCTGCTAGCTCATACAACGACTGCATTGCAGGTTGGGTCGGCTTCGGTCGCCACAGCCCCTGATGACGGTCATAAACCCAAGGATTTGTCTGTGACAGCGCCTGGTGCAGCAGTCGCCTCAGCTCCCCAGGCCCTGTCGGCAGATTCCTCTACTACTGGTCAGCTTGGCGCAGCAGCTTCCGCGCTAGAGGGCAAGGACTTTGCGGAAGGGGCACAAGCTGGTCCACGCGCGCGTGCATTACAGCAGGGACAGGGCCCGCCTTTGCAACAGCTGGTTGCCACCGGCATCGAGCATGCGCTGGCCTCCGCCACGGCAGTGGTTGTGCAGCACAGCAGCATAGCGGCAGTGGGCCATCTTCCCCTCAGCCATCGGCTGGGGCTTTGGCCGGCTGCCGCTTGGGGCATCCCGTGCATTCCGCCTACGGCCGCAGCTTCAAGCGGCCCAGTGGCCGCTGGCTCGGCCAACTCAGGCCTGCCACGAGAGGTGGCGAATCAGGTACAGGCCGACACTATCTGTCCAGCGCCGCATGCAGCAGCTCAGGCGAAGCCTGCCTTCACGAGCCGCGATGTGCAGACGACCCCTGGCCTAATCAAGATGGATCTGGATTACGATGGCAAGGTGCGCTCGACGAAGTGCTCCATGCTGAACGTGACGCGGAATGTATAAGGGATACACCAAGGACATCATTAATAAATGATCAGCTGCATTATGCCCATTTGCTACATATCGTAGGGCCCTTCCTGCATTACTGTGGCCTCACCGCTGCCTTCAACCATGTTACCGTAACACAATCTGCCTCAGGTGGACGGCGGACTGGCGACGCAAGCTTCTGAAAAGCAGCGTGACAGCGCTCCTGGGCAGCCTGGGCTGGCATTGCAAGGACTGGGGAACGCTGTCAATCGCAAACAGGTTTATCGGTCACGGATCCCCTTGCCGGGGGGCACCATTGCGCCTATGCCCGCTGCCAGCAGCTCTACCACCCAGGAGTCCGGAGCTAGCAAGGCCTCAAATAGTGACGGTGAGGAGTCGAGTGGAGGCACAGGGCCGGCGGCCACGGAACGCGTGGTGCGTTGGCGACGATTGTTGAGCTGCCCAGCCGCCGCTGGTGGACCGCGGCGTGTGCTCGTAAAGCGTGACATGCAGCGCAACCCCGTGCAAGAGGCCGCCGAGTTTACAACGTCCGGAGCTAGCAAGGCCTCAGATAATGACGGTGAGGAGTCGAATGGAGGCACAGGACCGGCGGCCACGGAACGCGTGGTGCGTTGGCGACGATTGTTGAGTTGCCCAGCCGCCGCTGGTGGGCCGCGGCGTGTGCTCAACCCCGTGCAGGAGGCCGCCGAGTTCACAACACTTGGGGAGGAAGAGATGCGGCGACGGGCGCATGTCATGGGCATGCGAATTAGCCCGTACCTTCGGACGAAACCACCCAGGGTTCGCCCGCCGGAGGCTCCTACGGCCCAAAAGGGTTAAACGCGTATATTGGGGAATGTGGGCATTTCGTCCAAGGGTCCAATGCATGTGTCGTGAGGAAAGCATTGCTCTCGCATAGGACCAGGGGAAACAAAAGCATATGTGTGTTCTTAGCTTCCGTCAATGGTCAGTGCAATCACCTGTTGACGTAATGCTGAATGATGTGTAGTAGCGGCGTAGGTATGCTGTGCCTGCTACTCAGCCAGCTCCCAAACCCACGCTCTTAACTGCATAATTCCTCGCCTGAGGCGCAGTGGTTTCCCCGGAGGTGAATATGAATATTGGTGGAAGAAAGGGATGCTAGATGGACGGCTGGTTGGGATTGTGACGTTTAGGAAGATACCCCGTGTACCTTCCTTACGGGACTGCCGTGCAAACTGATAAGCTGTAGTCCTGGACCGGCCGTGGTTCGGTAAACCTCACCGTCTACGACGATTTAGGTTAAGGTTTTTAGACATCATGGCGTTTGTCTGTTAGTGGTGGGGATGCTAATGTGCATCACGTGGGTGGTGTGGCTGTGTTTTGTACTTGTCGTGAGAGCAGATGTGTTGCGCGTCTTCTGCAATACGTCCCATGCATAGCGGTGTGCTTGGCCACCAAGTTAACGGTTACATGTGCTTGCCGGTGCGTGATACTGCTTGCAAACCTTTTGGCCAACCCTGCTCATTGGCCGCTATAACCTTGCGGCCACCACAATGAAATCATTTATGTCCTGTCCAGTGCTAAAGCACGATATTGCTGCACACGCTTCGTTGCAAGACGGCATCAAGGTTGCCGCACGATGCACGGACCCCTACCCCGTTGCAGCATGAAGCAAGATCAGCGTAAAAATGACACATTCCATCACACTCCAGGACTTGGTTATTGCACTTTGCAAGGATGAAGGTCGCGTTGCGATAGTCTCTTTCATCACACGCTGCACATTTTAAGGTTCGCCAACTCCAGCAATTGCCATATCTCACGCTTCCGCCAGTAGGCACTATCACGTCTGGGTTTTGCGAGGAGATTCGTAAACAATCCCAGTACGAGTCCGGGCAGTCAGTGTAGGCTTTTGCTGGAAGCAGAATACACAGGCATACTATTGTGTAACAAGTTGCACTAGATGTGCCGCAACTCATCCCAGCGAAGATCGTGAAGGCGGCCCCGCGTCCACAAGACCCGAATCGCTCAACCAATGTACTTCTGATAGCGCAAATATTTTACAAATATATTAAAGGGAGAACCTCTCGGCAAAGTTGTTGGAAGGAAGAAACCCTCGGCAAAAGTTGTACAAGCGATCGCCTATGAAACCGCGGCTGCTGCACAGGCGCTGTCCGTAGTCCACACTGTGCCGTGCAGAACATGAAAGTAATTCAAAATCCAACCACACTCCTCCACCCTCATGCTTAAGTTCACGCTCATTGGTAAGTCTACGAGCAGGCTTCTATGAAGCCTGCCTATCTTTAGTCGGACCTTCAAGAATCCATAGCTGTCAGCGGCGCCAGCTGCGTGTCAGCAGCCGGCCCAATGAAACAGAGCACTCTTATCTCCAAAGCGCACGAACGCAACACACCCTCCAATCACTTCAAGCCGGTCCCCCCCCCTGACACATTACTCCCAAAGGACGACCGCCTGACGCTGAACGTCCCCCCTGGCGCAAGCGCCTCGGCCCTACCATCCCCAAACGACTTCCTTCCGCTCATGAACCTGCTCAGCACTCCCCCCGCCCCCTGCTCCTCACCGGGCCCCGACACCATGCGGGTCCCCGTCCCCAGGCTCGAACTCGTGCCGGGGCTCAAGGTTGGCCCCACTTGTTCCTGCGGTCCCCCAGCCGCCTCCAGCCCACCTAGGTAGTCCTCCCGCGGCGTTACCATGGCCGATACCTGGCCAACAGTACTGCCGTACTCATCGTCAACGGACACATCACCCGGTCCCACAACTGCCAGTATCCGTTCCAGCTCATCAATCTTTGCAATCATGTCCTTTTCGTTGCCCAGCGCCTTCTTCAGTGCTAGGTACACCTGCATGTACTCGCCTGCGGGAAATGGCGGAGCGAGAGAAGAAAAACCGTGACCTCTTGAGAAGAACTAAAGGCAGCGGAGGCACAAAGGGGTAAAGGAACGATGCATTAGTTAGCGGAGGGATAGGAGGCTGAGCATAGGTCGCGCCAGGGGCGTCCAAGACGCCATAAGAGAAAGGCCTTACTGCGTTCCCTCCTCTTTACCGCTGTGTAAAAAGTGAAAAGCAGCTTCTATTGTCCTATCTTACCGCAACAGGTTCACGTACAGCCATGATAATCATAATGATAAAAGCATGGGCATTGGAAGAAAACCAAGCAGAGGTTGTCGAATCCGCTTGGCGAGGCAGGTACCTTGAAACACGAACGAGCCCAGTCTGCACATCTGCCGACCACTGCCCCGTTACCCCCAGGTTTTCCAACCACGTAACAGCCTGTGCCCGGGGCCACAGAGACCCCCAACAGAGCCCACCTTGGACCTCAGCCAGCTGCACCTTCGCCTCAACGAGCTCCCGCATGAACATGTCGCTCTCGCGGCGAGCCTCGGTCGCCTCCGCCCGTGTGGTGGACAACTCATCGGCCATCATCTCAATCCTGCAATTAGGCAGCACGTTTATATATATGTGGTCTCATAGGCTGGATAGATAGATAGATAGATAGATAGATAGATAGATAGATAGATAGATAGATAGATGGATAAGAGTAAAGGAGGTAAACAAATCATGTCATTGACGGCAAGCTCCTCTTTTCCCCCAAACCAGACGGGTCTCCCCTCATTACCCTTCGCCCGCACTGCCAATGGTCTCACCCCCCCCCGCAGGTTGTGGTCCCACCTCGCCGCCAGGTCGTCGCGGCTCTCCAAAGTCATTTTCAGATGCCGGTTCAGGTGCCGTACAAGGTCCTGAGTGGCGCCCAGCTGCTCGGACAGACTGTGGCGAACCTGTTCCGCCCCACCACCGCGGTGTGGTGGCGCCGTTTGGGGGGTAGGTGGGTGGCGGGTTCATTAGCCATTTCATGATCACGCAAAAAAGGAAAGCAGCGAAGGGATTAATTGGAAGCATCTGCTCCAAAGAAACTCCGGGAGCTTGTTCCCCCAAAAATGGAACTGGCATTGTCTGCTGTCGTGGTGGTCTTCAGTTTTGGGCCCCTGGGAGTGGGAAACGGAAACGGACAATCCGTTCACAAGCAGTTCGGCCATTGCCGCCTCTGCTTTGTAACGTCTGAATAGAAGGTTACGAGTGAGTATGTGCGCAGGTGGCTCGGGGGAAAGGGGGCTCGGGGGAAAGGGGGAGAGGGGGAGAGGGGGAAAGGGGGAGAGGGGGAGGGGCAACATGCAGACCAGCAAAAGCTGACATCTTATTGCATCTAAGGCCGAACGAAAGCCAACAGAAAGCCCCTCCCCTTCCTTTCATTTTCTTGTCCCTCCATTCCGTCTTTCCTGTAGTCCTCAAGCCCCCCCTCTCCTCCTGTTCCCTTCCCTGCTGTAGCTGCGCAATCCCCTCTCCCCCCACACGTCGCACCACCCCTCCCCTCAACATACCTGCCGCAGCTCCGCCAGCTCCGCCTCAGTTGCCGCCAACTTCTGTAGGTCCGTCCCATTCACATTGGCACGGAACTGCACCAGCGGCTGAACCTCCTCTTCCTGATGCTGCTGCTGCTGCTGCCCCTCCCCTTCACCCTCCGCCGCCGCCGCGGACGTCATCTCAGAAAGCGTGATCTGGAACCGCACGCCGCCGGCCACCAGGCCAGGAGGTGGGACCGGAACCCCCTCCACCTCCGCCAGGCCTTCCGGTGGCGGACTCTTCGCCGCCGGCATCGTCGCCGCCGCCGCCGCCACCGCGGCATCAACATCGTCGCCATCGGCAGTGTCTTTTCCCCCCTCCTCAGAATCACCCGACGGCTCTTCGCCGCCATGTTGCTTTCCCAGATCACCTTTGGACCCTGAACCCCCCTGGAGCTGCTCCGCCGCCACCGCCTCGGCAGCTGAAGGTTCTCGTATTGGCGCTTCTCCGCCAGCAGTTGTAGCGGCGGCGGCGCCTTCATGTAGTCTGTGCGTTGCCGTACCGAGCAACGCCGACGCCTCGGCCGCAGCGCCCGCGGCTTCCCGGTTCTGGCTATCCTCGCCGGCGCTTTGTAAGCCGCTTTCACCGGCGCCGTCTTTCAAGACGTCCGAAAGTTGTGCGGCCGGCCTCCGCCGCCGCCTCCGCCGCCGTCTCCGCCTCCGCCCATCCGCCGTCTCCGTCCCTTCTCCCCCTTCCTCTTCTTCCTCCGTCGCCTCAGCGTCCTCTACACCGTCGGAATCATCGCTGGCGTCGCCGTCACGCGTTGCGGTCGAAAGACGTGACGTCCCCGACGTGACGTCGGCCGCAGCAGCACCCGGGGTGCGGGCGGCGGCAGCCGCGTCTCCACCAACGTGAGCGCGCGAGCCACTTGCCTGGAGGCCATTAGCTCGGTCCTGGATCTGGATCTGAGAGCTAACCCCGGGAGCACCCGAACCCGCACCCGTCGCGTCACTGCCGCCAGGCTGACGGCTCCCGACAACCTCCTCGCGCCTGGGCGATGAGTTCGAGGCAGTAGCAGCAGTAGCAGCGGCGGCGGCGACGGCTTCCGCTACAGTTCCCGCGGGCACCGTTTCGGGGTTGCCGCCGCCGTCGCCGCCTCCGCTGCCGATACCACCACCCAGGTTGGCGTCAGCGTCGACGGAGACGATCGGTTGTAGCTGCGAACGACCCACAGGGGTCGTTTCGCGGGCGGGCGCGGGAGTGGGTGTACGGGTGGGCGTAAGCGTGCCGGACGCGCTGCGCCTCTGTGAAGGCGTTGATAGCGAAGACCCGTGGGCCGCTAACGGCCGGGTACTGGGGTCCACTCCCAACAGGCTCAACAAGTCGCGCCACACCGCCACGGCCTCAGGGCTGCTGGACAGGCGACGGCTGTGCCGGGACTCCAGGGAGCCGAGAAGCAACTCCAGCGGCGTCGCCGCCGCTGCCGTTGGCGTCGCGCCTTCGGCGTACACGTCCGTACCGCCGTCTGCGTCAGTGGCAACGGCAGCGCTGTCAAGGCCAGGCGTTCGCTGACTCATCAATTGACGGCCTGTGACGCTGGCAGAGGAAAGTGCTGGTGACACGTGCGCCGTTAACGCGGCGGCGGCGGCGGCGGTGCCAGCGCCAGCAACGGCGTCGGTGGCATTTACGGTAATGCAGAACCGAAGCGCAGGCACGGGCACCGCGCCCGCTGCTGCCGTGGCGGATCCGCCGCTGCCGCTACCATTGCCGTACACTAACGGAAGCTCGTCGTTTGGTGTCCGTGCGTCCGAAAAAGCGGTCATGCTGCCCACCCGAGATGGCGACGAGCCGTCAGCGCCTGCTGCTGCTGCTGCTGCGGCGGCGGCGGTGGCCGCACTCGGCGGCGTCCGGAGCGCCGCTGCGGCAGCCCCCGCCGTCGGCCATGCCCGCGCGTACTTGGCAAACAGTCGGACGAGGTCCGCCGCCTCCGAGGGCGCCGGTGACGCCACCTCCGCGCCGTCCGCAGGTGGCCGCATGCCGCCGCCGTCGCCAGCTTCCTCCCCCACCGCCGCCGCTGCCGAGCCATCCATTGGAACCCCAGGCCATGACAGGGGCCAGGGCCCCCTAGCACCATGTGACCCATGGGACATTTCCAAATGCGACATAAATGACGAAAACAGGTCAACCAACGGCTTTACGGACGCATCGAACTCCTCGTCCAAGGCCTCGCCCGCGCGCGCGTCGGGAGGAGTCGCTGCAGTCTGGTCACCCCCGGCGGCAGCTGCTGTGGCGGCAGCTGCCGCCGGGCCCCAGGAGCCTCCCTGCCCGGTGCCGCTGCCAGCGGCGTCGGCTGCCGTCGCTGCGGATGACTGCTCGAACAGCTGCAGTAATTCGTTGACGGAGGCGGCGATAGCATCGGCCTGGGTTTCGAAATAGCGTGCATCGGGAACGAGAGCAGCGGCGGCGGCTCCACCGTCTCCGCCGCCGCGGTCGCTGCTGCCGCCGCTGGGACCGCCGGTACCGGCGGCGGCGGCGGCAGTCGCCGCCGCCGCTTCGGCGGCCGCGGCCGCCGCCGCTTCCTGGAATTGCCGTCGCAGGTGTTGCACTGTGGCGAGGATGACCTCGGCTTGAGAGTCGAAGTAGCTAGCATCCGGGGCAACGAGACCGCCCCCAGCTGCCCCGCCACTGCCTCTCAATGCCCCTGCTGTCAACAGCGTACGACAGCGTACGGGTGTAGCAAGGCGGCCCCAAACAGGTTTACCTCTGACCCAGCGCCATAAGAAAGGGCCCGGATGCCGTACATATATGCACACAGACTCGTTCACTCATACGCAGGATACGCACCCCCCCCTACACGTCTCCCCGGGTGCCCCGTCCCGCGTTCGCCGTTCTCATTCCCCGCCTGCGTTTGTCCCGCGGCTCAATCGTACATGCAACGCACAACTCTCCCCCCCTTCTCTCCGGCAAGGTATGATGTTTTACTTTGCCGACATCCACAGAGGATGTACATGCACGTACACACATACACACATACATAAACACACGCACACACACATACATACACATACACATACACACACGCACACATACATACACATACATACACACACGCACACAAGCCCCGCAGCACAGTCCACTGAGGCCTACACAGACACCCACATACGGCTACACTTCATCTCACGCACTCGACCACGCCGCTGGTAACGACGTAGCTCGCTGTGGTACGAAGTTGTCAGGTGGTGTACGACAATGTCCACCATTTTACTTCATCGCGGCTCATATTTAAAAAAAAACATGCATGCATACATGCATACATACATGCACACATACATGCATACATACATGCACACACACACACATACACACACATACACACGCAGGGACTCACGCACAGCCGCCTAGCACACGTCCTCACCGACGCCAGGCGCCCACTGCATCTTGGCAAAGTACTGCCGCAACCGCTCCACCGACACCTCCAGAGACTCCGCCACGCTGCTGAACGCACTTGCATCAGGCAGCCGCTTCCGCTTCCCCGCTTGCTCACCCCCCTCCCCCTCCCCCGCCTCCACAACACGCTGCTGCTGGTGCTGCTGGGCAGGGGACCCTGCCGCCGCCGCCGTTGGCAGCGGCGTCGGCGCCCAGTCGTACTGCGCAAAAAGGGTTCGCAAATGCTCCAGGGAGGCGTTCAGCTCGTCGCGACATGCCTCCAGGGCTGAGGCGTCAGGGGCTTTGGCTGCGACACCGGGGGAAGCGAGGGGAGGAGAAGGGCAGGTGAGGGGGGTGAGGGGGGATGTAGAGGAAACGGGTTTTAGGCCCCCAGCTCTCACCGGACGGAACCCAACAGGCCCCCCGGAGTGACCGTGTCTCCGCCACCCACCACCACCACCACACCCATTTCCCTCGCCAACCACCGGTGATATATCTCAACCCCCCATTTTAATAACGCACGTACACACCATCCCCGCCGGCGCTGAACAGCGACACAGGCCGCAACGGTGACGGCGCCGGAACTATCGAACCCCAATGGGGCTCCAGAACCGGTACAGCACCGCCACCGCCGCCGCCGCCCGATGAGTCACTGTTGTACTGCTCGCGCAGCTGCGTCAGCCGTCGGTCCTCCAGAACCGCGGGTCGGTCGTCTACCACCTCGCCGGCGCGCGCGTCGGGCGCGCCGCCGTACGACGCCGTACCGGGGAAGTACGACGGGTGGTGGAAGCCGTACCCGGAGGTCATGTTGGCGGGGTGGGTGGGGTCGTGTGGGTCGTGAGTGCCCGGGGTGAAGGTGTAATCCTGCGTGGTTTCGGAGCGTTCAGGGTAGTTGGTAGTGGTTGGTTCCTATTCAAGAGCCGCCATTACTACAAGGCAAAACCTCAAGAACCGAACTGATGAAATATCTAACAAGCTACATGCTGTAGTTTTTCTTGTGCGTTTTTACAATAACTATTAAATTCTGACAGTCTTCGGCTGCGGCCCTTGGGGCCCCTCAGGGCTCGAGGCCCCCTGCATGGGGCCCCCCGGTTACACCTCCAATTAATAGCTTTTTGGAGTTTTTTTTGGAGGTTTAAAAAGCCCTGGAGACCTCCCTGGAGAAACCGCGAGAGGTTTTCTTTATCTTGACGTCAAATCACGATTTGAGTCGTGGCCCCTTCGGTGGGAGGTAGTCGCTGACAGGCATATGCGTGGCAGCCTCTACTGAAGGGGGGGTCGACGCAATGGTGGGTGCAACTACTGGGACTCTGTCGAAAAAAACGTTTGTGTGCGTATGTATGTATGTATGTATGTATGTATGTATGTATGTATGTATGTATGTATGTATGTATGGGCATATCTTCGCCCGTGGCCGCTACCCTGCAAAACCCTGCCTTCCCCGGTATGTCGGGGCACCCTCATCCAGTCACCCTAGCCAACTTCTCAGTGGATCGCTCAGGTTCCGCACCCACCACCGCCATCAAACGGAATTCAGTGCGCGGAGTCGCACCTTAAACTTATCCACCTGTCGCTGCACAAACGACAATGTGCTCTGGAGGCCGGGGCCGCCGCTGCCCACTGCGGCAGCATGAGCGCCTTGAGGCGTATCTGCCGCAGCGGGAATGGGAGACAGCGTGAGCGTCGGGGGGGAGGGGAGGGGAGAAGTGGAAGAGTGTATGTGTTGGTGCGGGTAAGCCGCACCACTGTGCTAGTGGGGGGATAGTGGATGCGTGTATGTGGTGGTCGAGCTGGGGTGTGAAAGAGTGGGGGTGGGTAGGTGGACTTGCGGGGTAGGAAGGGTCAGTAGACAGGGGTGTGGAAGTGGGGGACCCTCCCCCGACCCATTAACCCCCCTCCACACATACACACATACATACACACATACACCTTCCCCTCCCCACGTACCCACCCGTGGTGGTGGTCGCCGGCGGTGTCTCAGAGTCCCCATGTCCCTTCCAAACTTGTGTATTGCGGCGCTGCAGAACGTGCTGGGGTAGCGATTCCTTGTCCTCAACCTGCAGCCAAGACACACGCATACATACATATATACATATTCAGAGCTCCGGCTGTTCAAAATACACGGAACCACCCGTCCATACGCGCCAACTACCCACTGTGGGCACCTACCTACACACCCCGCTGCTTTCGCCACCCTCCGCGCGCACAACCAGCTCACGCACCACCACCATCACCACTCCCTGCCTGTTCCCCCCTGTTAGCCCCCTAGCCGTTCGGATGAGTCCTGTCCTGTCCTGTCGTGTCGTGTCGTGCTCCGTGCAGCAGCAACTGACAAGCAGCAAAAAGCAACCCCAATGTTCAAAGGCCTCATCCAACCACCCCACAACTGGCGCAAGCCCCGCATTCCCTGAAGTCCCCTCCTCCTTATCCCCCCTCCCTCTCCTCCCTCTCTTCCTCCTCCTCCCTCTCTTCCTCCTCCTCCCTCTCCTTCCTCTCTTCCTCCTCCTCCCTCTCCTTCCTCTCTTCCTCCTCCTCCCTCTCCTTCCTCTCTTCCTCCTCCTCCCTCTCCTTCCCCCCCTCCCACCTAATTTTTCCCCTCCCTCCTCCCACGGGCAGTTGCGTCATTGCTTCATCACCCACTCCTACAGAGGCCTGGTGATTGAAACGTTCTCACCCTGCACGCATGCAGGGCCCCAAAACCTCCCACCCACCCACCCACCCCACCACCATCCAGTTACAGTTAGCCCCCTCACGCCGGTCAGGGGATTCCGCCCGGTGTCAATTTATTCCCCTTCCCTCTTCCCCCTCTACGTCTCCATCCGTACCAGCAGAAGTGTGATCTCGTCCCACAAGCTCTGTACGGCAGGTGAGGCGCTGATAAAGTCCCGGTAAGCTTTTTCAATCTCCAGCAACCCGTTTTTGAGGGTGAAGTTCTTGGTGGCGTACGACCGCTGCAGCTCCGCCTCCAACCGCTGTTATAAGTCGGAGGGGAGGGGACTTTGTATTTTAGTCAAAAAAATCAACTGCCGACGTCAAGGGGGGATAGGGTGGTACGGCACCGTGTGGCGGGTGGAGGGTTTGAAGGGCTCTTTCCACCCAACAACACCAACACAGTCCTTCAATCATTTGCTCCGAGGATGGCATTGACACAACACCGCCCATGCCGGTGTGTGGCGGGTGAGTGGAGGTAAGGGTTGTGAGGGAGGGTGGCCGAAGCGGGGATGGGGAAAGGAGGTGCTGGGGAAAGGGTCACATGCGTAAAACACACACACACACACACACACATACACACACACACACACACGCATAGCCGGGCGTAGGGCGAGGGTGTGCGGGACTACCCCCAAAGGGAAGGAAGAGGGGAGATATGCCCGGAAGAGGGCTCCTCATGGCCCGGGGGGCCCTACAATCGGACAGAGATACCGAGATGATGATAGATACAGATCGGAGCTCGGCGTACGAAATGGAAACCACCTCGATCACTCTGACTGACACACAGGGGGGACAGCGCCCGCCAAGACCACACCACACCACACCACAGCACACCATACCACACCACACCTGGATCTTCTTCTCCAGCTCGTTGACTCGGGTTTCATTTCGCAAGATCTCCAACTCGCCCTCAAGCTGCGCGGCACCGGCACCGATGTCCATGTCAGCACCAGTACCACTAAAAGCAAAATATAGCATCAACATCAGCAATGCCCCCCCCTTCCCCTCCCAACAACTATGCACAGCCGATACCAAACCGGTTTAGGCGCAGGTGGCAGTGAATCGCCCGGCGGTGCACAACCGGTTTGGGAGAGGCAGGGCCACGGAAAGGAGGGAAGGACAGCCTTCCAGCCGCCACACCCTCTCTACCGGGCCCCCCCTTTGCCCCTGCGACAGCCTTGCCGTACCTTGATGATTTTCTCATTGAGCTTCTTAATGAGCGAAGGTCGGTTGTCCAGCGCCTACAGGTGACCAACAGTAGCACATGAACACATACATACATACGTACATACGTTCCAACAGGACAGGCGTGCTAAGGCGCGGCATGGTGTCACTGGAAGGTCGCAAGTTTAACCCGACCCGAGAGACAAGGGGGGCGGGGTCACTCGACTGTTAAGAGGACTGTTGGATGCCCCCCCCCCTCCCCCCCCTTCCCCCCCTGACTACGGAGAGGGTTACGGACCGCCCGGTTATAGTGGGTGTGACTTAGGGTGGCTGTGCCCGCCGACCCCCGGGAGCGGAGCGGAGCGGAGTGGAGCGGAGTGGAGTGGAGCGGAGTGGAGCGGTTGATCCAATTCGGGGGATTGATGCTGGTGCTGCTGCAGGTGGCGGTGCAGGTGGCGGTGCAGGTGCTGCAGGTGGCGGTGCAGGTGGCGGTGCAGGTGGCGGGTACTGAGCCCGACCCTGAGTCACTGAGTTTGCGGAAGTCGGCACTCACTCATTCCCTCACTCCTGGCTGGTGCGAGGAGGATGCGGAGGGTGGTGCCCCCCCAACATCGCGGAAGGTGCTCGTACAGATTACTTGGTAGCCCGCTGTAACAACAACAGCAACAACAACCAACAACAGCGCTGACGCAGCACGAGGCCACGCCCCTGGCCAACCCAACAACAGACCTGCTCCAGTCGACCCAGGTTGGACACCGCTTCCTCGAGCAGGGACCGATCCAAAGTGACCGTGCTGGCGTCGGGTGAGTCCTGGCGGTGGGTGGCCGGGGTGCGGCGGAGTGGGGTGGAGTTCGAGAGAGGTGACTGCCGGGCTGAGGGGTGACTGGGCGAGTGAGAAACATATAAATATGGAGATTTGCCACTTGCCGTAGATCAATAAATGCAGTACAACGTCCAGCCCGAGGGGGCTTGAAAGGGGGGGAGATTGGTAAAGAATGCGTAAAGAGTTTCCGAACGAGGAATTGATTGCGGGATTAGGGAACGGGAATATGCTTGGACACACGACTTATCGGTGGACATGACAACAGCCCGCGAGAATGGAAAAGGGGGGGAAGACGAACCACGAGCGAGTGAAGCTGATGTCGAGGGAAGGGGTAAAGGGGAATATTTGCGAGGAAGAAGGGGTGGGAAGACGAACTACTGGCGAATGGAGCAGATATCACGGGGGGGACCGCGGGGGCAACGAGGGCGGGACAGCGGGCGGATAGTGACAGCTGGCAGAGGAGTGTCTGGCTGACACGGTGTGCGTGACACGGTGACACGGCGCGGTGTGCTGTGGAACCTGCGGGGTGTGATGTCAGGGTGTATCAGGATGTAATTGACGAAGGAACCCCACGCTGCGAAAAAGGGGGAGAAAGGGCCCCGAGGAATCATGTAAGTAAGTTTGGCACAGGAAACATCATAAGTTGATGTCCTCTAAGCAGTTAAGCGAACCCCGGGGCCCTGGTCGCTCGTGGAGCGGGAAGAGGGGTTTCCCAGCAGCCCGCCCGGCAGCCCGCAGCATGATGCCCCAGAGGAGCTCCGATACCCCGACCGGTTCACGCCCGAGAGGAGAGAAGACTACCCTTCCCATGGGGCACAAGCCTGGGAGCAAGCACGTCCAACAAGGTTGCTCCGGGTTCGCAAAGGACCCAGCACGGCTAAGACTCCAATCGGGCCCAACTCTGACAATCTGGCTTTTGTGCCGGGGACGCGTTCACCTTTGCGACATCCTGGAGCCGCTTAATAAGCTCCTCTACATCCCTGCGAGACATGCTGGCGCTGCCCGCCGATGTCCACGACGGGCGTCAGCGGGGCTTTGCACGGCTCCAGCAAGCCTACGAATTAAGAATACCGTTGCGAAGAAAATCTAATCATGTTAAAAATCCCTAGCTAACGCCAGTCGTGGCAAATCTTGATACAAGAGAAGTTGACGGGACGCTCAGACTCTATTGTAGTTGGCATCAAACAAGGATGATAAGAAACCCAGTACTCAATTTTAGTTCAGATGATGTGTCTCCAACATCTTTACCTGTCAGGTTTGAGGAAGTAAAGAACCTTCCCGCCAGCGTTCAGAGTTCCAGGAAAACATCTTGTAAAACATCTAAGTGTGCCATCATGCGCTCCTAAAGACAACCATGTATTTTCATCAAAGTTGGCATGTTCTCAGGCCGGCAACCCGGCCTGTCAACAGGGTGGACTATTTTGCCGCATCACGCATACATGATGCTACCGTTATGAACATTCTAATTGGGCCAGTATAATCCATAGAGGGAATGTGGTAGCTGTTGGCTCGGCAGTGATGGCTCCTGGTACGTAACTAGATTGATTGTCATGCAGCCTGGCCACCCGAGATGCGCACATCCGATGCAAAAGGGAAAATCCCAAATGTCCGAAGGCAATAACAGTATTGTGGTGTCCCTGACCAACTTCATCTAGCATTTAGCCACCAACAACGAGTATTTGGGCGTGTGCGACGTCCTCAGTTGCGTGTCGCGGTCCAAAACTGCGGCTAACACTTTAACATACATCTTTTGGGATGCCAGAAGCAACCATGTAGCGAGGCTTTTGAGTAGCAAAGTCGAACGGTTACCCCAATTCCAGCTGCGGTTCAGTTCGCCTGCGGGTTTCGCATGCCCCAAGGCTAATATCACTTCTTAATAACTCATGGCCGCTTGTATGCTCAGATGAAATGAGCTCCTGACAGTTTCTGTTCGACCGCCCTTCCGAGGCGAAGAATGGCTTACTGTTTTCAGAGTGGCCACCCGCTGGGCTTTGCAGTCCAGCTACGCCTCACACCAGAGCTCAAGCAGGCGTTGATCAATGCGCGGGCGAGCGGGGAGGCTGTGTCGTTGCGGTTCCGCGAGGACCCGCATCGTGAGGTACGCGTCTCTTTATTCGGCGGCTGCAATTTCTGTGGCTGCTTTGTGATCGATGCATTTCGTTGCATAGAGAAGCTAGTGCCCCTGCAACTGCTATTATTGCCGCGGTGCAGCTTCTTTTCTCACACAAGTTCACAACGTTTTTCATTTCCGCTCGCTTTGTATGGCCTTCGTGCCGCACCCGGCTGGCACCCCTTCTCCCCATTCCTGCCAAACATCACCCGCCAAACACACGTTTGGATCCGGCGAAGTACCAATTTCGCGAAGGCGATAACTTGACCAAAGCCCTGAACGAACAACGAACAGCCCGCGGCTCGGTTTTCCGTCTGTTGCGCCGGAAGGAGAAATCCCCGCGGGACAACACATACATGTTTTGAATCCCCTGATGCGCTTCATTCGTCCTGTTCATGCCTTTATGTACACGCACAGTACGGAGGCTTACATAGGGCCGAGCGGGGCATGTGGGTTGTGTATAAGCACTCACATTCTCACACATAGCACGCGCTACCGCGTCCGCGCATTACACAGCTACTTGTCGACGAGCAGTAATTTCCCCAGTAACAGTACTGCTACTCGCCTCGACGGTAACAACCTTAACGACCGAGCACGCTCCCGCTGCTGCTGTGATTTTCTGAATAGTTTGACAGTAGTACGTAACTCTCCTCCCGTCTTTCCCAATGTGGCACATGCCCGCTCTACCATGCGAGAGTGGCGGGAGGGGGGGGAAAGACGAACCACACACGATTGAAGCTGCTGCCAGGGCAAGAGCGGGACGGGGGGGCCCGGTCTCTCGGGGCTGCTGCCCGTGCGCGAGTAGGACCTTCCAGAAGCGCCCGGTTAACAGAGGGGCCGCGTGCGACCCAGTTCGCTGCCGAAAGATTTACTTTCGGGCATGCCCGCAGTGTCTCAAAAATGCACAAGTAGGCAGGCCGGCAGGCCAAAAAACGTCGTGTTGGATGGTGGACAGCAGTATTGGTGCGACACCACGCATTACGTTTCCATTCATGCCGCGTTTTTTGGGCGCCCTATCCCCGTCCTCTATCGTCCTACTCCCTTACTCCGCCACAACTATTCGTACATCTTCGCACATCCCACTCGTACATTTTTAACTCGCGTTTTTCCCCGACCGATCTTCTTATATAATTCATGCATTGCATGTTCCACTTCCGCCACCGTTTCCGTATCCGTACAGGCCGTACTGTCTGTGGCTGGCCAGGAGTATTTCTTCAGCACAGCCCCCCAGGCGGGCCAGGTGGAGGTGGTGGAGGTGACGCCGGCTGCTAAGGAGGCCAGGAGTGTCGCGTGCGTGAAACATCGCCTGACCGTACAGGTAGTTGGGGGTTGACCGTTGGCAACTTTGACCAACATTAATAAAGTGGGGCCGCTCGCAGATCGTGGCAAAAGGAGTATTCATGGTTTCGGGAACGGGTCCATTTCTGTCGTCACTAACCATTGACTGCCGGTTTCGGCCGTCGGGGGCCCTTTCGGCCGCAGAGGAGCTGTCGTATGTGATGGCAAACGAATAGTCCCCTATTTCTGCAAGCGGGTCGGCTTGGGGGCTCTATTTCTGGTAGTTTTCGGGAGTTTCGGTACGACCCAAAGAGCCCAATGCGTTTGGCGATGTCTGGTCGCTCGTGAGACAGTGGGGGAGGGTAGCTGCGTCCTGCAAAAAGGTTGGATCGGGTGCGACTGTTCAGGGAGACGTAGGAATGGAGCTGATCGTCCTCGTCATCTGCGTCTCCTTTGGCGCGGTCGTTCACATCATCAATACGTTGTGATGTTGACTTCGATTGTAGTGGTGGTGTGTATGGTTGTTGGTCAGTTTGATGTGGTTGGCGAGAGGTGGTTACTGCGGCCGCAGCATCCATAGAACCGCGGACTGAACGGAACAAGACATCCACGACGACATGGGCTTCTTTGCGGTTTGTTGACGTGCCGCGTACGGCAATGTGTATATGCGTATGTTTTCCTTTTCGTCCCCCCGCGTGCAGCACCGTGCAAAACACACGTGGGATTCAACAGGCACGTGCTCACTCCGCCAACCGGGGCCCACTAGGACATACATGCGTACATACATTTGCACGTCATCATGCGTTATAAGTGCAAGTTCCGCATTAATGCGGAGATATACGTTGAAGCCCGGGGGCCATGGGGGCATTACATTTAACAACCCTTTCCCCCGAAACCCTCCTGATCCACATTTATTGAAAGCTAACTTCGTCGTACGACCGAAGGCGGTTCGGGTCCTGCGACCTCGACCCCTCCCTCGTCCAGTCACCCGACATCCGTAGAGACGTCCACATGTGTGTATGTACGTCCCTATCCTCCCTGGCGCCACCCTCACCCCGCAAATGTGCTCCCCCCACCCGTAACCCCGTCCGTCAGCGCTCCCTGGACGCCGACCACCCCCGACGAGGAGGAGGAGGGGGGCTGTCGGCCGGACTGGGGAGGCGGCCCGCAGGGCTGCTGGATGGGAACCAGCGGGCGGGCGGTGAGGAAAGGGGGAGGGCGGGGGGCGGGGAATTCAGGGTATTTTATCGCTATTGCCGTGTTCAGTGTGTGCGCGTATGTATGTATGTCTGTGCGTGTCAGCTTTATCCCCATCTGCAACCCCACCCTCCATATCCCCCTGGGCCTCCCTGTCCCTCCCTGCAGGTGCACAGCCCCGGACAGCCGCCGAGGGCGTCACACGACCGCCACCACCACCGCAAACAGCAGCAGCCGCAAGCAGTCAGCCTCCGCAGCAGCCGTCTCCCGCCCTCGGGGCGGCAGGCGCAGTAGCAGGGGGAG